CGTAAATATTTCGAATTTTCGAGTTTTTAGAATTACGAATTCATTTTATTCTTTTAGTCAATTTTTTCTTTCCTTTCATTTTTGTTAATTTTTTTAGGAAATAAACGAAAGGAGAGAGAGAGAGAGAGAGAGAGAATAGCTGTAAATGTGAAATTGTTGATTTTCAATGTTGAAAGGAAGAAACCAATTTTTTTCATTTCGTCGTTTATCAAAATGTGGTTTGTAATCAATAACTAATTACGATACTGTCTCAAAATGTGGTTTGTAAAATTACGATACTGTCATGATGAACAGTGTAACATTTTTACTGTTTGATAGATTCCTACTCATAATTTGTTTCATTTTCTTTCCTTTCTTATATCGTAATAATTACGATATGAATACAGTATTCGTTTATCATTATTGATTTTTGATAATTATTGTTGTTTTTATTACAATAATATTTTTCCTAAATATTAACAATAGTAATATGTCATACGATTTTTTAATGATAAATCTATCATTTAAATGATCAATTCATAAAATCATTTAACTTATTTTATTGATGCGTAATTATTACTATTATTATGTATGATTTTGTTTTATTGGTAGTCATAAATGTTTGATCTTAGTTGGTTAATAATATACAGATATAGGTATGTAAAGTTATGTGATGTTATTAAAGTATGATAGTATGCCGCATTCAATTATTCCAAATTATTCATTACATTATTTTAATCTGAAATTTTGAATGGTTATTTTATGAATGCTCTAATTGGATATATTTTTAAAAGGATAATTGATTTTCTTTTAATTTGTAAAGAAAGAATTACTACAAAAGAATGTTTACTAAGCTTTGTTTATTAAGTTTGTTTAAAGCTTTGTTTATTATTTACTAAGCTGAACTTAACATAATGTACTGAAAGAACTAAATCTGAACTTAATATAATGTACTAAAAGAACTAAATCTGAACTTAATATAATGTACTGAAAGAACTAAATCTAAACTTAATATAATGTACTGAAAGAACTAAACATTTTATTTGTCTTTTTTCATTTCCAATTTTTATATGATATTAATATATATCATTAACTGAATTTCTTCTCATCAGTAATAATAACTCCATTTTCTCTTAAAATATGCAAAAGCTTCTATATCACACACGGAATTTTTTCTTTCATCTCAAAAAACACACAATTGATAATTTTAATTAATTAAATTACTTAAAAATATATGCAATAATGATGAATGAAATTTCCGCATTATTATCAATCGCAAAAAAATGATCGCATTTAATCTAATACTAAAACAATCATATCCAATTTAATTGAATTCTATTGTTCTTTATAACTAATTATTTCGTATAAGAATAGGAATCGGATAATAGCAATAATTCAATATTAAATTCATATTCGAATAAATTTTCTACTCATATTCATATTTGCTATTAACAAAATCTTTTATCATAAAGGAAATTGTCGAACAATGATAATAAGAAAATTTTCTTTTTGTTTAATTAGAGATGGTAATATATCATTTAGTTCGGTTCTGTCAAATTCTTTATTATATATCAAATATTAATCACTGAATATATATCTGTTAGGCAATAAATAATTCTTATCTTTGTATTAATCATAATTAATAAATATCAAACATTAGATTAAGTATACTTTCTTTCTTCATTACAATAATTATTTCTTCTTCATTAATTTATATATAACTTAGGAATATATACATATATGTATGTATATTGCATGTATTTATTATTGATTATAATTGCTTCAGATTTCTTATTTTAAAAAGGATCGTTAAGGAATGAGTGGAACCATAACCTGTTATGGTTGAACATAGACGACGATAGAAATGATAAAGATCGATATTGATCATTAATTTATGAATTCGGTAACCATTTCATTTTAAAACTATTCGTTAATTGCGCATTATAGAACTTTGGAAAATTACACCATTTATGATCAGATTGCATTATGATCATTATTTACTTATTGATATATTTTGTACTATTAATTATTTTCATACTAGACTTTGGATAATCTTGAATAATTAATAAGAGAATGATAAAAAAGAAGGAAATATTCATATAAAGCATTATACAAAATTTGAAAATTATATAAAATTTTATATAAGTATATATTCTGTATCAGTATACATATATACATATGTTTAATTATATATATATAATTAAATAAATAAATTGTAATATAAATTAACGATAATTTATTGTTTAGGAAAGAAAAAGAGATTTATATAGTAGAGAGATCGCGTTGTTCGATATTAATCGAAATATTTTTAAATATTTTGAATAAGAAAAAGAGAGAGAGAAGGAGAGAGAGAGAGAGGGAGAGAGAAAAAAGAGGTCATTGCTCCTATATTAATAGGCGAAAAAAATCATTGAGAGTCCATAAATGAAATGACCTAAAAAGAAAAAAAGAAATTCCTTTTTTTCCAACAATTTCTTTCTGACAGCCATTCTCATATCGTCTATTCGTCATTCACCTTTTAAATTTCAATTTAAATTTCAGTAATTATTAATTTTTGTATAATTTAATTTTTATGCAGAATAAATAAGTCTATCTATTACTACTACTACTACTGCCTACTGCATATTTCCTTTATGATAAAAGATTATTTTGTTAATAGCAAATATGAATATGAATAGAAAATTTATTCGAATATGAATTTAATATTGAATTATTGCTATTATCTGACTCCTATTCTTATACGAAATAATTAATAATAAGGAACAATAGGATTGAATTAAATTGGATATGATTGTTTTAGTATTAGATTTTATCTTTATCATTTAATTGAATTTTTTCCTCTTATTGAATCATACATTAAATCTTTATAGATTATTTCTTTATGAATTTTAACTAAACATTCGTATATTATATGTACTTTAACTTAATAACTTATTTCTCTTTCCTTCCATTCAATAATTTTTGAACTTTTTTTACTTCTATTTGTTTTTAAATTTTTATTAATATAATAGTATGTAATATTATTGTTATAAATGAAATTAACAGTATTCAATTTTTAAATATAATATTTATTCAAAGAATGATAAGGATTAGATTAACGTTGAAGCATTTACTGGGAAGTTATTAAATAAATCAAGAAAAATTAATTCATAGCTAATGTTGAGTAATTTAAATTTAATTATCAAATAAATAGATCAAATTAAACGATTTTGACTATGGTAAATGCTTATGGTATGATTATGGTAAGTTGAATGCTTATGGTAAGTTTAACCGATTACTTTATCATATAAGTTTACCCATTATATATACCATATATATACCATCGGAAAAAAATATTTAAATTTCTGTTTAAAAATTTTAAAAGGATAAATGAAGATATTTTGGTCATCCTTTCTTGCAACATTATAACAACTATTGGATGATTAAAATTATGATCTATGATTAAAGGTCTAGGATGCTGCTAATGTCAATAAGTATTTTACTAACCAACTTATGATACCAATTATCATTATATCTTTATGATAATGACTATATTACTTGTACAACAGAGAGAGCTGCATTAACTGAGGTCAAACCGTTCATTCTACTACAACAATCTAGCTTAAGTTAGCAGCACCAAATTCATTATTTTTTGGAAGAGTGGAAGGGATAAATATATTTCATAATGAACCCTTTTTTAGATTATGATGACACATTGTTATCTTAATTATTACATCTCATTTTCACAGTGTGAGGATGGGGCGGTGTTGTGTGTGGGGTTTATGTGTTTTGCATCCTCGGTGAAGTTTGCTGTTCCAGTAAAATTTTCTTTCCAAATAAGGTTTTGTTCTTGCGACAGAAATGTTCGCAGTAAAATTTGCTCCTTTAATGGAATTTGCCGACTGAAATATGTGCAATAAATTGATGCGCTTTTTTACCCGGAATAACGGTGCTCACATTCAATCTTTATTTAAAATAAAACGCGGCTAAAGTAAGCTGGCAACATGCTGATTACAATAAAAGTAAGAATAAGATAGAAAAAGCACTTGATTGTTAGAGTAATAACAACATGATACAGTTAAAATATATTCAAATTAGATAATACTTTATTGATTTACAGTTAACATAATCATAGATGAATATTTTTTCAATCATTTTGATGATATGTGTATACTTTTCTTTGTTATTTCATCACTGTTTGATTCATGGAATTTGTACTTCGAAAACCGAGAAAAGTTAATATTCATGGATACTTTTTTGCGATTTCTACGTTTTCGCTTATGACTCTATGCTTTTGATTTGTTGATATACTCGCAGTACATCTGTTGTCGTGTAATGCGGAAATAATAGAGAATGAATTAAAAAACTATATCCATTGTTATCACCATTTTCCATTCTGTTTTCATAGTTCTTTTATTATTCTCCTTAGAAAGATAATTATAAAAAGCACGAGATTATTTCTTTTTTGTTCTGCTCGGAGAAAATGAAATATTGTTAATATCTCACTAATAAATGTAAGGTTAGAGTAGATGGTTGCTTCTTTTGCTTCCATATGGTAATCATTGAAATGCTTTAGTGGTCCTAAATTTCATCCATCTATCGGAAAAAAATCCCACCACACTCTCAACCAATTAATCATGAATCGATCTTTTCTGCACTTTCCCTGAAATGTTTTATAATCTTTCTTTACCATATTTGCTGGCATTATTTCCGACACTAATTCAACATTTGGTTGTCATAATTAAGTGTTTATCATTATATAATCAAGTGATTATTATTATACAATCGAATCAGTATCTGCTCATTATTTCTGTCAATAATTTAATTATTATATATATTTCAGTAAGCACCAAATTATCAATTATTTGTTATTTCTAAATTTGATAATAAGTGCACGTTTTCGTCATCGCTATATGATTTGAGTGATGCGTTCTGCGGTTCTCGCTGTTTCTTATTGCTAATACGCTGCCATATCGTCAAAAACTAAGAAACTTAGTCCCTAATTAATTTGTACAATTAATTTTAATTTTCATAGATAAAAAATGAAAACGACTTTACTACTAGTTATTGCTTGGATTTCGGTATGCCAATCTGCTAGCCGAAATTTGATTACACTTACCGAAGAAACATGGACCGACATATTGAGTGGTGAATGGATGGTTGAATTGTAAGCATTTTTTTTAATTGATGGACAATTTAAATTAAAATGGTATGTTTATACGACATAAATTGGGATATTTTCAATAGTATTATACCTGTATTGTTTGCTTCGCATTCTTCTTTGTTTGAAAATCATTTCAGTCATGCACCATGGTGTCCGGCTTGCAAAGATTTACAAAAAGCGTGGCATGCATTTGCAGACTGGAGCAAAGATCTTAATATTGATGTTGCTGAAGTCGATGTGACCGTAAATCCGGGATTATCTGGCCGTTTTCTTGTTACTGCACTTCCCACCATCTACCAGTAAGTAATATCGTGTTTTATTTTATCATGGTATTATCTCATAATCAATCTAAACAACTTAACTGTTGTTAAATGTAATTTATCTTCTAACTGTGATTGTTATTGATAAGGTTTGAGATTTTTTGTGCATTGAGACAAGATTTGGTTTAATGATTTTCAAATCTTGAAATTCATCGATTTCAACGAGAGCAATGAAATGATGGGAGAGGTATTATTGGCTGTACGTAATTTCAAAATTTTTAAATTCATGATTTTGCTTAGACAAATTCTGCGCAGTAATGCAGATAAATTATAGTGTCAAGGACGGTGTGTTTCGTGCTTATGTGGGACCTCGTGATAAAAATGATTTTATCAGTTATATCGAGGAAAAGAAATGGACTTTATATGATCCAATCCCAAGTTATAAATATCCAAGTTCACCGCAGTAAGTTTTTTGCTTACTTTATCGTAGGAAAATCTGCTAATCTTAAGAGAATTTTTGAATTAATTACCCCTCATGACAATTAATAATTGAAGATAGCGTAATGATGTCTTCTCATCGACTGATTTTAAAACTTCTTAGTACGGAAATGTACTGAATGGATGTAGTATTTTAATCCAAGATTACTAGATTTTGATATGAGCGTATTCATTTCAGAATGTCGGTAGTGGCTTGGTTCTTCAAATTATCGATGTTTGTCCGTGACAAGCACAATTATTTAGTTGACGAGGGTTTGTTCTTTTTATAACACGATTTTTTAATTTAACTTTTCTTAATAATTTACGATGTTTTAAGAAAGTTTTAATTTCGAACCTTTTTTTTTATTGTCGTTTTCTTTGATGCTTTTAAAAACTTCGTAAGAGGTTTGACGTTATTAACTAGTGGCTGGATATTATAACAGTGATGCAATTTACCAGTCAGACTTTATTGAAAGTAGCATTAGATGAGGAAAAAAGAACAGTGGAACTGAAACCCTGCTCAATTTATATTGACTCCAAATTGAAATGAATGAATCTATCTTCAGTGGGTTTGCCATCATGGGCTTCATACTCCGTATTTGCTGGTATAACTTTAACCTTGGGTTGTATACTTGGATTTTTCATTGTTTGTATCATTGATCGAGTTTTCCCTACTTGTGAACATGTCTACAAACCGGAAAAAAAATCAACAAAGAAAGATCAAAAAACTAAATCTAAAAAGGTATGATTCTATAATTTAATAAAAACTCATTTGCGAAAGAAACCGGCAAGAAATCGTGGGACTAACTCTTGTGGAGATAATTTCCATATTCATTTATGATATGTTGAGGAATTATTTGGTTTCTTTGACCGAAAGCAAAACTGATTGGATGATTCTGGAACCAATGCTAGTAGTTGATTGTGTTATAGTAATTGATTGTAGCTTTGAAAAATAATGTGAAATTAACATTAATGAACATGATCGCACAAAACGTCGTCGATTTTATTATTGTTTTTATAAGCTACCGGTGACGATTCAAACCATATTTGTAGAAATTTAAGAACTGAAATTTGTAGTATTTCCTTCTATTTTATTGGTTGAATAAAGAGAATCTGCCGCAATTTTCTTTTTCGCAATTTTTTTCTTTTTCGCAATTTCGCAATTTTCCATTTTTTCTAATTTTGAGTCGAAATTTATGTAGTTTTAAAATTAATTTTCTAATGAAAAAACACAACCTAAGACTAAATTCCGTTAAGATATTGGCGTGATATCATTATTTCTTCTGAATACTTCATTCGAAGGCATTACTCACTTTTCCACATTCTTTCCATTTTCATCGGAGTGAGTCTTCTCGCAAATTTTAAAAAAAACACATTCTTTCCATTTTCATCGGAGTGAGTCTTCTCGCATACTTTTAAAAAGAAATGTAATTTTATAGGATGAAGGAAAGAAAAAAGACGATGATCAATCACAAGATGACAGGAATTCTCAAGACGGTCTGTGTTCTCTTTTTAATTATCCATGTTGGACCTCTGTTTTCTGATGGTTTTGGAGTTCGCTTAATTTATGTTCGAAGGATAAAATATATTGGGATAAGAGTTTATTTCTGTTACACTAAGATCTTTAGAAGATGAGCTCCAAATTAAAAACAAAATGGAATTATGATAGGATAGAATGTTGCAAACCCTCTATGTTGCAGACTTCTTTCGTGTTATGATATCTTGACATGACGCATTTGATCGATTATTTAAATATGATTATTTCTAGAAGAATCGGCTGATGAAAGTGTGCGGAACAGGAAAGGTGCGAAAAATGAAGTAAAGAAGAAAAACTGATTTAGTGATTAATGCAAATAATTACGAAGTATTATTTGAGCCGCTTTCGTCTTTATACAATATGAAAATAGTCCTAAGACGGAATAATGTATTTTTTCACTAAATAATTTATATTCGCTTATAGTGCCAATGTTGCTGTTATGGATTTGGATCGCAAGATTTGCCTCTGTTATGTTGTTTACTTTCTGCTGATCTTTTCAAAGAACCTGTTATTTTTCTCTTTGAAGACTACTTATTCATATTTGATTTCTCATTGATCATTTTGTTTATTAGGCATATATCAATTGTTAATTGTTCACAGTCTATTTTTTCCACTTTTTTCTGCAGACTTGTTTGCTAAGTACTGTATTGTTGTAGTTAAAAAATAAAGGCGTAATTGTAATGAATTATATATACAAATTCCATAAAGAATTTTATATAATCCATTATTCAAATTTTGCTATGAAATTGTAGTTTATTTTTACGAAGTCCTTCTATGTTTGTTTATCGATATATTTTTAATTTCTTATATGAATATGATATTCAATTGTAAATGTGAGCATATTTAAGGTTTATGCTAAATTTAAACAAGAAAAAAAAATTGTGATCTATTTCAGTGGCCGATCAATTTAAACGAGTTCATTTGCATGGCTATAATTATTATTTATTCCTTTTAAACTCACTTCATCCATTTATGTCATAGATTCGGTTAAATATAAAATATGTTAGATTGGTATTTTATATTTTCATGCTGCTGTTACTAAACACTGGATTGAAAGTATCGGAATTATATCGAGTCGAAATTCTGTGTCCTTATTGAGAACTAAGCTCATGTTCGAGTGAAGTGGATTTATTTTTTCGATTTCATTTTTTTAAGGTGCAAAATTAGGTTGCATGTTCAATCGATTCTTTTCATTCAATAAATTGTTTTTCGTGAATAAATAATCCTTTATAGTGGAGAGTTTCAAGCATGAAATATGTCGTTTCTTTTCAGGATTAGACACGATGCCTAATCCAGTCCAATGGCTTCCGCTAGAATCAAATCCGGAAGTGATAACAAATGTGAGAATTTTGTATTTTGCAAGAACGAAAGTTGACGGTTTTGTCTTCTTTGTATGTTTCGTGTGTGATCGTCATTCATTGTATTCGGATACCGTGGCTGCATGCTAAGTCGTCAGAATAATCAGCACATAAATTAGACAAGCCTCCAGTGTGGCTTTTCTATTTGTTGTTCAGAATAAAGCGGGGAGGATCTGAACACTTGCGAAGGGAAGCATTTTTGCTAATATAGATTATAAAAGATTTGTAGATACCAAAAGTTTTTTGTATAAGGATGAGAGGAATTGTCTTGGCTATGCCTTAAGATGGTGGAATCATTTTAGAACTGTCAAAAGAATTGGGTGGAAATTCAGCCGTTGCAGCATTATTCCTCTAGACTATACTGATTTTGATAGGATACCGTGAAAAATGCCTTTAATTAAAAACATATCTTAATAAGTATATGATATATGATAAGTATATGATCGTCCTCTAAAAAATGGATGATGAAGTTAGTTAAGGTGAAATCATTCCCTGATTTAATTCTTTGTTTCGAATTTTAGTTTATGCATAAAATTGGTGTGGAGGAGGGGGTAGAATGTGTGGATATATACGGTTTCGAGGAGGATGTATTGGCTTTCATTCCACGACCATGTTATGCTGTTATATTGTGTTTCCCGATGGTTGACAAGGTATTGTTTTTTTTTGTCAAGCAATCTGTGATAATTGTAAGCCGAGTTTTTTAGAATTCGGAGGATTTATTCTCCTAGTTTTCTTTTCGAACCCTACATTTTCTTCAATTCAATACTCTTTAAATGAAATTGTCACATCTTCTATACAGTGAATTGGGAGAAATTTTTGCAAGCTGTCAAAAAAAGTTCCGTTCTTATATGAGTATATTGTTTAGGTTGATAAAATTATGGAACCCATCTACGAAAAAATGAAAGAGAAGGGGTGCGTAGTACCGGATGATGTGTTTTTTATGAAACAAAAAATATCAAATGCTTGTGGAACTTTTGCGCTGATCCATTCGCTTGCCAATAATCAGAAAAAAATTAACCTTGGTGAGTTAATATTAATTCTACTACAGGAAAATCTCCGTTTTTGAATAGCTATGAATTTTATTAGCGTTTACGTTGCTACTTCGTTCAGACTTTGAAATCCTCGCTATGCTTTTTGAAATTTTTAACTTTCTAGTGGAAGAAAGGAAAAAAAGTAGATATGCACTGTACTTCTTCATTAATAGTTTGCATTATCAAGTAAAGACAGATCAAAAAACGGAATTAGGCACAATCAATTTTTTGATGAATATGCTGTTTATTTACAAAATCATAAAGGTGAAAACAAATCATTTCTTACTATTTCATGACTGTAGAATCGCATATCTAAGATAATTTTGTTCAAGGTAATGGTTCATTAAAGCAGTGGTTAGATAAAGCAGTGGAATTGAGTGTTGAAGAACGGTCTGATTCCTTGGCCGAAAACTCAACACTTGCGGAAGCTCATGATAATTGTGCTCGAGATGGTGAGACCGATTCGAGCACAGTTGTTGATCATCATTTCATCTGCTATCTTAACCATGGAGATAAACTTCTTGAACTCGGTCAGCTGTTTGTTTTTAAAGGAAAAGAAATTTTAAAAAAATGTCGCGGAACTGCATCGTGTGTTTATTGGTTCTTTCTCAATGTATTTTTTTTCAAATATTTGTAATCAAAATGTAATTAACGTTATAGTTTAGAAATTTTCAGATTCTCGTGCTCCATGTCCTCGTATTTGTGGTTTGACCAGTGATGCAACATTCCTAAAAGACGTTGGAAATTCATGCAAGACACTGATGAACAAACTGGGAAATCTATCATTTAGCGCACTTGCCATCGTTCGTGCTTCTCAGTAATGGCATCCACCGTTGATTCGTCTACTGTGTGAGCTTGTTGTTGCTAGCTTTAATCTGTTAATTTGTAATTTATTTTTCCTGCGCACATTTTGAATTATGAAGCGATCTTGCTGCCTTTTTGCACTGTGTCGCTTGTCTGTCATTGTTGCCGGTAATCGATAAATGTTATTTGTGGCAAGATATTGACTAATTTAATTAATTAACAGGATAAAAAAAACAGCGGGAAGAAATCATAAAGATTAATTGGAAGGTCATCACTGTGGTGTTTTAATCAGTACATTTTGTGCATTATGTCATTAAACGAGGAGTTTTCACTTTAAATCGAAAACCAAATAGTTATAAATTATCAAGCCTAGATTAAGCTGATAACTTCTTACAATATTTGGCAAATACTAGTATTATAGATAGTATACTTTGAAATTTGAAGCATAGCTTCTTCCGTATTTTCCAGTTGTCCTAGGAAGTTCTTGTAATTGTGAGCCATTTTAGGCTATATTGATCTAGTAATTAAAGTTACAATTCATTCTTTAAATAAATCTCCATGACTGATTCCGTAACGGATTCGCAGATATCCGCTGGTTGGACAGTTATATTGTTCAAAGAGAAAAGAAATCGTTGATTTGTTCGGATTGATACAATCAACCAGTTAAATATTCATTATCGAATTGATTACATTTTATTCTCATCTCCATTTTATTACGGTGAAAGTACGCCATGCTCCTTCAAGTATAACAGTATTCCTTTTATACAAAATGATTAGCATAGCGGAGAAAAACAGATTGCAGTTTCTAAATTTGATTAAAAGAAACAATAACGATAAAAGATATGCTGATGTAAAGTTAAGATTTCATACGGACTTTCCAAGATTGTCTTTTTTCTAATTTGATATAAAGTCCAAATTAAGATATTCATAAGTTTATCACAATTAAGACTTACTTATAAAACTCTTAGCTTCAGAAATTTAATCCTTTTTTATTGATTATTCTATATTAAAGTAAACTAATTAATTATCATTTAATTGCTAAAAATTGTTTCGAAAATGAAAAAAATTTAATTTGACAAAAATTAAATGCAGCAATTGTGTTATGTTCTTTTCTAAAAAAGGAATTTTAGAAAAAAATCCATGCCGAGAATATCGTACAATCTAAAATCCGAATTCAGTATGAATTTTCAATTTACTTATAATATGTATGCTTATTTTTCAATCTAATAGAATTTCATTGAATTTAATTAGAATATTTAATATATATAATTCATGGCGATTATTTCATTTTGATGTTAAAATAATCGATCCGATGAAAATATTCGACGTTTAATTAATGCCTTTTTAATTTTATCTTTTAATTAAAAAAATTTCACATAGCAAATTATTTTAATGACTGTAATATTATTTCATCGTTACGGTATCAGAATATTCAATCTATCCGAGTAAAAAGAAAGCACTACATGCATTTTATACCTTAAAGAAATAAAATTTTTGATTGATTGATTTTAGCTAAAAACAATCATTTTCTAATAATAATAAATAGTTTTTAATGAATTTACAAAAACAATGATAATGAGAATTCATACGGTACTACTCAAAAAATAAAATAATATACTGAATACTATTAAAAAAATATTATTTAAATAATTGAAATAAAAAAAATGATACAATGAAAATAATGATAATATTGGAGTTACAGTATACAACGAGTGCTTATGCATCATACTGTAGCAAACTGTAATTTGAGAAAGGCTAATGAAAAGTAGGGTAAAGCAATTGGTGCTAAATTAGGAATGAATGAAAACAATTTTCATTGTATTTACAATTAGTTCATTAATAACAATTGTGTTAATTATTTTAAATATTAATTACTATGATAAGATAAATATTTATGAATTTATGCAACTAAATTTACAGATATATATGAAATCTTTCGAATATGTAAAACGATAAAATATCATTTGCATATTATTTGACAGGAATAGTTGTTTTATCGCACTAATATGAAACTAGTATGAAACTTTATAAACTCATATGGAATATAGCAAATGAATAAATATTATATGTATATTAGCAAACTCTGTTAATTAGTTAATGAATAAAGTAAATCAATGAATCGATCAATCACTAATGAATAAACAAAATCAATCAATCATTACTCATTCAATCAATAAATCAATCTTAAATTAATTAATTAATCAATTCATTTCATTTAGTTATAAACATATTTCGTATATTCCCAATATCTCTTAGCTAAAATTTGTTGGAAATAAGAAATTGAAAACGAAAAAATGGAATGAATAATATCTATTACATATTTGGAAATCGATTTCAATTCTTTTATGTTTTTTTCATTAATGAATGGAACAAATTAAGGCAATGAGATAAAATTTTGAAAAAGTTTGAATTGATTGAAATGATAATGATTAGATATCAATGATAATGAATGAATAGGCAAAGAGAAATCGAAAAATGGGTGAAGAGAAATGAGAGAATGAGAGAAAAAATGTGAAGAGATCGAAGATTAAATTCAATTTTTACAATTTCATTTATTCCACCCAAATTAGTAAAAATGAATTACCCAATTTTATATTGTAATGAATTTCTTTCTTTCTTTCTTTTCTTTTCTCTCATTAAAAATTATTTCTTCGTTAAATTACTTTTTAGTCATTCTTTCACTCTTACATTTCAAAATTTTTCTTTTCTCTCTTTCATTTTATCCTAAATTGTTATTAATTCAATTCTTTGTAAAAGTAATCAATAAGTCATTTCAAAAAAATACATTCTCCAAACGATTGTCTATTTAAGTGTTCATTTAAATATAGAAAGGAGGGAGAGAGAGAAAGAGAGAGAGAGAGGAGAGTTAAATTAAATTGAATTTTTTTTTATTTAACTAATTCATTTAGTTAATAACAAATTAATTAATTAATTAATTAATGATAAAAGATAAAGTGAACAAATTTTTTTTGTTAAACCTAAAAAAATTTTTTATCATTGAAATTGAAATTAAATAACGAATGAAAAGTTTAAGTTAAATAATTTAAATAACTTATATAATCAATAAATAATTGAAATTCTTTTTATTTTGCCATTAAATTAGATTTAAAAAAAAAATGTTTAATTAATTAATTTTCATTGAAAACAAAAAAAAACCTGAAAGTATATTTGTAATTTTTAATTACTTAATTATATGGCTTTTTTTTATGTAACAGAAGGATGAAACTTCGTAATTCGTTGATTAATATGTTGGGTGAATTTATTGGCCTTCATAAAACACCTGATTTCAAATTGAATGCTCAATCTTCACAAGCTATTACTGAAGCAGTAGCTGCCGAAGCAAGACGCTATTCCATCACAATGAATTATCCCCCAACAGATAATACTGTTAATTACTTTTCATGTGACTGAAAAAGAAATAAATTGAAATGAATTTTAAATTTTAATTATTTTCATTTGTTAATAAAATATAGTAGTAAGATTATCATTTTGTAAATGATCAATTATTTCCATCACTACTATCACTATTAATTAATAATTATCACAATTAATATGCTTTATTTTATCATTTGATATGATTTATTATGGAATAATTATTATCAGGAATATGACGTAGTGCATCAACGATCATTCTCGACGAATAGTGCCCGTGAAAGTAATGATTTGGTAAATATGGATCCATCGTATCGTCGCTTTTCAGAGTCTACATTTTTATCATCATTTAAGCCATCTAGACGACATCATATTCAGCAACAATTATCCGTACATTCTCGTTAGTCACTAATTTTATTCCATTTCATATTCGTTAAATTTACACTATAATCATTATGCTTAAAATATTATTATAATGATCAATCATATTTATCATATATTATTACAAATCATATAAACTTACCATTGATATAGATAATTATCAACATTGATATAGTAATGTGAAATATTTAGCTTCTGTATGTTATAGTAATTATTGAGCTTGCTACGGTTACACTTTCATATTAACCAAATAGTTGAACTATAAACAAAAATTCAAAGATACTGTAAAATAGTTATGCATTTTTTAGTGAGTAAGAAATGCCAATAATGTGATGTTAATGGATAAGACAGTAATTTCTTGCCTGTTTTTAATTTGTTGTTGTTGTTTTTTTCTTAAATGAAATTTAAGGAAAAAAAAGAGAGAAAAAATAAGGCGAATAATTAAAAGAGAATAATTAAAGTTGTCAACAACTTGAATAATTATATCATCAATTTGTTTGAAGTATTTATAATTTTAAAGTATTTGAAAAAGAAAGATCAAAATAGAAACGAAGAATGATAAAGAATGATAATAATCATAATATTAGAATGATAAGAATGATAATACATAATAATAGTTAATCATCATCAAAAAATCCCTTCTAAGAACTTTTTCTTTTTTCCACCCTCTCTCTCTCTCTGGTTCATTATCTCTTGTTTTTTTTCATACACCTCTACACACATGTATTATATTTCTCCAGTTTTTTTTTCTTTTTCTTTCTCTTTTCCTTTTCTAAATTATAAATGTTAATAATGATAACGTATAAGAAATATTCTATAATTACAATATTTAGCATAGTTTTTCTTTGTCTAATTTAAAATCAAATTTGAAAAGGCATAATTAAAAATTTTTAAATTTTGATCTTCTAATTTCAAAATTTTAATTTTAGTATTTTTCTTTTTACATTAGAATTCCTTTCTCTTTTCATTCCTTTTCCAATAAATTTAAATTTCTAATTTTTCTTTCCTTTAATTAATTCACCTAAAACTTTCATTTCTCACTTCAATTATTTTCGAAATTTTGGTGAAAAAATTTTAATTAAGAATTTTTTTGGGAACAAATGATCAACCTTGAAAATGACCTGAAAAACCGGATTTATTTTAAAGAACAAATTTTATATTTCTTCCAAAAGAGAAAAAGAGAGAGAAAGAAAAAGAGAGAGAATGGAAAAAATGGAAAAAGAAATAGTTTCGATCCTAAATTTTTATTAAAAACATAAATACTAATTAACATTTGTAGCTGTAAATAAATAACATTAAATATTATATCATTTATAATTGGTTAACAGTTGAAATTTGCTATTCGTTAATTTAAATTATTGAATTATAAATTTCTTTAACTAAAAAAATATCAATTTTACAGAGAAAAAAAAATCACGAAAACAAAATACATCGAGTAGTTCTTATGAAACAGATGATAAGGAAATAAACAATGATAATGGTATCAATAATCAACGTTAAAGAGGATGCTACGCTCGATCGAGATTTTGAAACATTATGTAATTGAGAGTTACGATGTACTCAAGCAATTTGAATACCATTAATAGAAGATTGTAATCTATTTCGACTACCGTATGATTATATTTTATAGGATTTTACTTTATTTGTTGATTAGCGTAGAAAGAAAAGTTAGATAAAATATTCCCAAAACCTAAAACTAAAACGATCGTATATTTCAACTTAAAAATAAATTCAACTAATAGTTTATTGATTCTTATCATAAGTGATACGAACTCATTCTTCGGACCTTTGAACCTTTTCATTGGTACATGATAAATGTTGTCTATTACATGATTAGAAAATATTACCAAAAGTTAAATATTTGTACGAAAATTATCTAATCGTTCGTTTGTTTATTTAATTATGAAAATTTGCATAAACTGATAAAAAAATGTTGTGATTGATTTCGTGTAGAAATGTATCGAACAATTGATGATGATCTCTTAACGTCTCGTACGTTTATTTCTTTGTAATTATTTTACCCGTTTTAATAAAAACTATATATTAATTAATCTTGGCCACAACTAATATTGCATACAGTTCAAAGCGCTTAATTATATACCCTAACACTAACAATAGACTATTTGTAACGGTCATTTGTATAATATCATCACTTCGATTACTTGTATGTTTATATGTATTTATATGTAACAGTCACTTATGACATTTTATATCGGTCACTTACATATCTAGTTTCATATCAGCTATCTACCCGCGGCATCTCACATCATCCATCTACGACATCCAATATCAGTAGCAGTACCATAACCAGATTCGACACATTTGACACAATTGAGATCGACAAAAATCATCCCAGCGATAGCATCTGAAATGGACGGGTGGCACTTTGCGGTTAGCTGATAGAGGAGCATATTATTGCAACTATCGCCGGAATTATAAACCAGGTTGGAAGATGGGTTTGAGTTATGAAGTATATCGTATTTGGGTTAGATTTTGGACAACTTAAGCTTCAATTATTTAACTTTATTTAGTCGTCAAATATTACATTTCAAATTTTCAATAAACGGACTTGTAATATTTGTGTTTAGTTTAAAAGAAATTATTTTGATGAATACATTTCGATATTGGAATATCAGTATTAATCCTTAAAACAATATTATTGTATTGATAGATGCAATATACAAGAAAAGCCTTGGGTTGTATGTATGGACAAGTAATCGGTGATTCATTAGGATCACGGTATGAATTTCAACCAGCTTCAATTGTTCAGCACATGATAATCAAAGATTCAGTACAGTCTTTTTTACCAATAATTGGTGGTGGACCGTTTCACTTATTGCCAGGACAGGTTTATTCTTTTTATCTTATTATTTTATTTAATAAATAAACGTTGATAAATTGTTAGTAAAACTTGCAACAAACTTTGGAATTCTTGCAATTTATCAAATAATTGAAAACCTAAAAAAGAAATTATGAATATGAAACAATGGGAGAAATTTAAAGAATTACAAGTAAAGGCACTATTTGCTAATGCTTAATGATATTTGGAAATGACTAATGGATTTTTCGGTAACGGATGATTCTGAAATGGCTCTTTCGTTGGCTTCCAGCTTAATCCGTTGTGGTACTTTTAATGCGGCTGATGTTGCTTGTAGCTATGTGTTCTGGAGTCAGTCTAATCCACCGGATATTGGAAATACAACTCGAAATGCGCTAACTATCGGTATTCGAATTTTTCATACTCATGAAAATTAAAAATTTGTCTTGGAAATCCTTGATTGATCGTTGATTCACTGGAATTGAGAAATAGTAAAGGATGCTGTGATATAGTAAAATTGTAATTTCTAAAAATTATAGACTAGGTAAAGAAGTTGAAAATGAGAACAAAAACTTTGGTTCTATTGCTTTACAGAAATACTTAAGAGTTGATAGTTTTTAGCCATGTTTTGGTTACTGAAATTTGCAGGAAGAAAACTGTCACCGAAATGGTACAATGAATTGTGTGATGTCGAGAAAGAAGCAGTGTATCAAGAAGTATTAAATAATGTGAGATATTATAATGTTGGCAGTTTAAGTAATGGATGTCTCATGCGAATATCACCTTTAGCTATCCATTCTGTTAATATTACGTCCACACAGCGGTAATTTTTTACCTTCCTAATTTGATTATCATTATTACATTTTATCGATAGCATTTTTCATCCATTTGAACATTTTCATTTTTGTCAAGTGTTTGGTAAAAAGACTGCCGAAATTCAAGGCGTAATCGTGATTTCCTTTTTTTCGATATGCAAATTTGCAATTATTTAAAACAATTCGTAAGTTAATGGGTTTTTTATAATTTCTTTAATATTTCGATATTTCAAATTTCGTCTAATGCCTTGTTTGGTAGTGAACAAATTGCTATGCAACTCTTTCGAAAATGTTTTCCTTGATACATGTTGATTAACTGTCATTATCTTCGAATACAAGTCACATTTGACTATAGATAAACTAAAAGTATGCAAGCAAATCGGAAATCGGTTAATTTCGTTTTGATAGCTTGCAATTTATTTGTGATGATTTCTGCAGTACTTTCTAATCGAAGTACATCTTTTCAAGTGTAAAGTGAATTTTTGATCTGTTTTATCGTTTTAATTTAGAATAGAAGAAATGGTTCGCACAGATTGTTCACTTACACATTGTGAAGAGGACGCTGAACAAGCTGTCTTTTCTTACGTTATTGCAATACGACATTTGCTTAATGGGAATGGCAATAAGGTTGTTTATTAAGAAATTGTTGGCTTTTTAAGTGTTAGATGTCCAAAAGTTGCTGAAAGTATATGTAATGCAACGATGATTGCTTTACTGGAAATAATTCGAAATTGTTGATAAATGATAAAAGTGTTTTTGATGGGTATTATTATTTCGTACATTGATTAGTGCTGATGTGCTGTTACGGTGCTAATGGTGATGCCTAGAATGTTAAGATTTTTGTAAAATTGTTGATCATTTAAGCACAAATTGTTTCTTCAAATTAATTAGGCATTTTAATATGTTATCTTCAATTAAACATAGGTTGGCTCAATTTTTTAATTAAAAAAAGAATTTTAGCGATTTACTTAAATGGTTGATGTATTATAATTACTTTGATTCACGATGGTATTAGAGACTGAAGTCTTGTCATCGTTAAAATGAAAAGCTTCTTAGAAAGATAAAAACCATATGTATTTCAATGTATTTTCAAAATGAAAACTTAGATTTGATATAGGAAGCATTCGAAGCAGCATTAAATTCAACTAAAAGCACACGTGTCCGTGAACATCTGTTGGCAGCTCAAGAAAAGCCTGTACCTGTAAACATTGGGGATCAGTTGGTGAATGGTGATGGGAAAGCTATGGGATACATTGGAGTGGCTTTGCAGGTTTAGTTTTGTTTATCTTACAAAATAAAATACTATTTGGTATTTATACGGTTATGTATCTTGCAGATTTTTCATAGTTGGTAAGGACAAAGGAATGAAAGGATAAGTCATGTAGTAGTTGCTGAATTGGAATCCCTTTCTTTTTACAGGATCAAAAATAAATGACAAAAAAAAATGTTCCAGAGTGCTTTTTATGAACTTCTTCACGGTACATCGTTTGCGAAGTCGCTAATTGACGCAATATCACGTGGGGGAGATACCGACACAAATGCTGCCATCGTTGGAGCCTTACTTGGTATTTTTTTGCTGAAAATTACACAAATTTAACCTTTGTTTTCTATCTTATATCATAATTTTTGAGATGGTAATAATTCATTAAAAATTAAACCAACTTGGAATATATTATGCCAAATATTCATTTTGAAAAGCAACAAATTATTTTGAAAGCAACAAATTATTGCCATCTCTAATAATTTGAATCAAATTATTTACTTGACAATCTTTTGTTGATAGAAAATTTATCACAGTGATAAATAGAGAAGTATGGCTAATCTATGGCTGATAGTTTTGAACATACTGCATTGTCCCTAAGCAATACGGTATGTGTAATAGGTGGTTTTTCTTTTATTTGTTTTTCCTAATTTGTTTCGCAATTTTTTCTCTTATATTGAAAGTCGTCTTTAAGGTGCACGATTTGGTATCGATGACATTCCAGAGCAATGGATTACCACAGTGAAGGAAAGCAAGCCGCGAGCTAATTTTAATACAATCGATTATAATGTTGAAAGAATTGTCAATAAATTGCTAATGATTTGATAATCTTTAGTTTTTCCCTCATTTCTATTTCTTCACTTATTTATCCCTTATTCATTTTTTGTGGACTAATTGCTTATGTCAGAAGTTTCATCTTCATAAACAAAGGCAATTGTGTACTCTTCATCCGCGCTTCTGAATTTTTCACTCATAATATGAAATTTTTGAATGTTTTGATTTCCGTTATATTTATATTATGTTAATTTCTCTATATCCTATGGTGTATTTATAAAATCGAGAATTATTAACGAAAATTTGTTAGACAGAGAATTATTTAAAAAGTATTCTTCATCAACTTATCTTAACAAAAAGCATAAGAGGACGATAATTTAACAAAGGCTATTAATGTGACCAATAAAAATGTAAATTTAATCAACTGTTTTAATATTTTACAAATTTCGACACATTCTTTTAGTGTGAAAAATTTATGTACCGAAGTAGTACTACTAAAAACGACGACGTCACTTTGTGATCGATGATTAATTAATCAATACTTGTACATTTTTTACATACTCAGTTAAAAAACAGTTTATTAAACGTACGTCAAAGATTAGCTTGAATCACTTTACAACTATTGAATTTTATGGGGAAGTTTTCTTCGTTCGAATTTTAAAGGAACTTTGTTTTACTCAATTATTTTTTATTGAAATTTTAAAATGAAGTGAAGACTGTTTTACTTACAATAATTTCGATGAACTGAAATTTATTTTTGAATTCATAATTGATTATAATTTCATTAGTATTCCGTGTAAGTTCAGATGCCTTCCTTCTTTGATAGAAATGTGTTGACAAATTATTGAGTAGCAAAAAAATGAATCAAACTTTTACAGTTTTGAGAGAGAGAGAGAGAAGAAGATTTTTAAGGCAAAATAATTGTTGAGAAATTTAAATTCCTAAATTGACAATAATTTTTACATTCAAAAAATTGTCATACCTTCCATCAAAATTGAAATTTTATTCTAACATAGAATAGAATTACATATGAGTAGATGATATTAAGTTGATATCAAATTATCACTAAAGGTCACATTTAATCATAGAATTTATTAGAATTTTTATTCGCTCGTTTAATAGAATTAATAAAATACAAATTCGTTTATCTGTAATCTATTAATAGTTTTACCACGATCCACTTTGCTTCTTCTCCGTTCATCTTTTTTGTTTTCTTTTGATACCATTGATATCGTTGTTGATAGTGAAATCAAAAAGTAACTTGAATAGTAATAATCATCATATTTTCAAACAAAAAAAAACAATTAAAATTTTTTATATTAATTAACCTCTATTAATTAGTATAAAAAATTTTAATTTCCTAAATTTCATACATTGTTTTTAAGTTTACTGATAACGAAAATTGTTGTGTTCATTTTATGTTTTCGTTTTCTTTTTTTTTTATATTATAATAATATTTATTATCAATTTTTTTCCGTTATTTATCATTATATCTAATATTTTAAAGAGTTCGAAATAATAAACAATTTCTGATAAGATTTATTAATGTTAAATTATAAAATAGAATAGAATCATATCGAATTCATTTTGCATTAACACAATCTTTTTCATAGCTAATTTTATTTGTTTAAAGAATTATGAAATGAAAAAGCATAGAACTGAGGAATTTTTTACAGTGTGGAAAATCATACTGATAAACGATCATCGTCGAAAAGTTAAGGAATTATGCCAACTTATCATCGCATTTTGGATCATATATATACCCCATAAAATATAATAATAAGAGATAAGATAAGATATCTGATATCAACAAATCTGTTCAAGCGAAATTACCAATAAGCCAATTTATCATCGCGTTTTGGATCATATATATTATAAAATATAATAATAAGAGATAAGATATCTGATATCAACAAATCTATTCAAGCAAAATTACCAATATTATTAATAAAGGAATAGAATAGAATTAACTATTATATTTTTTATTATATTAATTATTATATTTGTTAATTTATTATCAAACTATTTGACAAGTAGGAATAAAAAAGAAAACCTACCAATATTATGTAATATTTCCTCTTTATCAAATTCATAAATTTCTTCCGCATTTTTGACAAATTCAAAATTTGCTAATTTTTCCTTATTTTTTGTCGGAAAAAAATTTTAACAAAAAAAAAAAGAATCCTAAAATTGAAAAGTTAAGAAAAGTTGATTAATTGTTTTAGCTTATAGAAAAACAAAAGAAAATTTCCAAAAATTCTTTAAATGCAAGAAAATTTTCATGTTACATTGATTAGTTAATGATACGTTAATTAGCCAATTTTTTTTTTTTTACAGCAAAAAAAAAATCGATAGAACTAATTGTTTTATTAACTTATTGACAGTTTCCAGTAGCAATTAAAAATAACTAATAATCAAACGCAAATTTTTAATCGTTGTTAAAAAGTACATAAATTTTGATAAGAAAAATTTTCTGCCATTATTTGCTGTCATTGTTAGTTTGGTAAAAGTTTTCCAGCACGAATGATTCACTCTGATTTCCATTTTTGAACAGTGTAATCAGTAGAAATTATTATATTACTAAATGTTTATTTTCTTCAGATATTTACCAATAACAATTAACAACAAACAATAAACAATAATATTAATAATGCATTTCGTTTCATTATGGTAAGTTTTTAATTGAAATTTTAAATTTATTTTTAATTTGATGAATTTTGTACTTTGATAAATTTTATGTAAATTTAAAAAAAACAATTATTTTTCTTCCTGTTTCTTTCACATTCTTTCATTTAAACTTTATTAAATAATCCTTTCTTCTTTTTAATTAGTAAAACAAAAGGATTGTGTTGATTTATCAAGTTATCGCTTTGTTATTTTTACTTTTCATATATTATCATTGTTATTATTAATTATTGTTATTATTAATTACTATTATTAGTTATTGTTACTAATTATTATTAATTACCATTATAATTAATTATTACTGTTAATTATTATTATCTACTGCTATTATTATTATCAGTAATTATTATTATGTATGAAATTAGTTGAAAATAAATTAGCTCATATTCCATTAAATAATAATAAATCATTTCATTACAGTATTTCGGTGAATAGAAAGAACTATGATATTTTCAGTTATCTTTTTTTCACTCACTTAAATGACTAATATGATATAAGAAATATTTCATAAATATCCTTTAAGAAATGAATGAAATTTATTATCATAGTTGTTGACAGTCGTTAGCATTCTCTTCATCTTCTTCCTCTTTTTCTCTTTTTTTTTAAATATTTTTATTTATGCCATTATTAAACATTCATACGATGACAAAATCTTTTTTTATAGCAAATAAATTTTGTAAAAAATAAATATAATTAATTTTTTGATAATTGTATTAATTATTTTATAACAATAACAAGCATAGTTTATAACAATAACAAGCATAACAAATCACAACCAAACTGTTGGTTGTATAATTTAAAATTTGAAATATAATTTAATTAACTGTAATAGTTAACTTAAATTTTTAATTGTGGAATTAATTACTTGATAACAACAATGAGCAATAAGCTGAATGGTATTTTTTTTTAACTTTAAAATTTAATTGATAAATAATTTCAGTATCATACTGTACTTTTGCAATAACTTATCTGAAATAATTTATGAAACAAGCATATTTTTGATGATATAAAAAAGTAATTTTAGAATATATAAATTTTCAATCATTATAATTAAACTCAAAAATAGCACGTACAAACAAATTATAAAACATAGATTTGAAATTATTATTGTTAAAACTCAAATACACATATTATTATTGTTAATCAAAATAGTCTATGGTACCATGGTACCATAGAAATACATTTGGGTGAATTTTTTGAATGGATGAAATGAGCATTAAAATTGATAATTGAGGGAGTAATTAAATCATTATAATGAGTGAAGTGGCAAAAAAAATGAAAATCTGTTCAATCTTTGAAATGTTAATCGATTCGTTTTATATTAAACATTTTCATACAAAAAATATTTAAGCATTTGCTATTAATTAATTTTGGGCTAAAAAGCAATCAATAATTTTTCTGCTCGTTTCACTAATTTGCTAAGTATATTTTATTGGTATAATAATTTTACCAAAATTTAAAAAGCTATCAAATAATCATTATGATTTTTTTCGAGGCAAATCAATTTGAATAAGTGCTTAGGAACTTCCTCTTTATCAGAATAATTAAATTATTCAACAGTTATTGCCAGTTGCTGCAAACACAAACCAGTTTTTCGTCCTCTCTTTTTTTCCTAATTTTCTTTTACGTCATAAGTTCGATCAATGTTGACACACATTTAAATGACAATTTCTTTTTCTACTAATTATTGATCAATTTAAGGAAGAATTAATTACACCTATTGATATATCGATCCTTTTCATCTTTTAAATACACTTGAAATGTGGAAAATTGTAGAAATGGTAAAATTGATGAGACTAAATTCCTCGTTTAGTCTAGCAAAAAGAGGATCAATCTTAGTGATTTCTCTAAAATTATTCATCATCATTTTTTCTAACTACAGCGCTTTCAAATTTTAATTTTAATTTTAATTTTCATTGTCAAAATAATTTTTCAAAAACGGCAATTGTACCACTGTTTTTAATCATTCCCATTTTCAAAATAGGTTGTTAAAAATTTTGAAATTCATTATTGATGCTCATCCTAAATTCAACTTGCAAAAATGATATTGAACAGATGAGAAGAAATAAAGTTAGATTTATTTTTTTTAATTAGCACTGTTTCATTAAATCAACCTGAAATAAATCTTGAATAGGAAAAAAATAATTAATTTAAAAGAAAACAATAAATAATTAATTAAAATCGCTTTGAAAATTTTTCAATTGCAAATTGCAATTATATGAGACAATAGTATTGAGTAATAATTATGCAATGATTAATCATAGTTAGCATTAACAAATCAAGTTATGAATTTAAAAATTCTTCGGTTTGTAGCATTTATGCGATATTATATACTGTGATAGTAAATGATAGCAAATGATAAGTATATCATCAAAAGATAGTAAATGATAAGTATATCATCAAAAGCAAAAAATAGCAAATGATAAGTATATCATCATCATAAATTTCATTTGCACAAAACGAAAAATAATACACAAAACACTTACAACAAAATAATAATAATTACACAATAATAAATCATAATTAACAAACTTATAATTAAAATTATAAGTTAAAAAATTTTTCAATTCATAATATTGGTTACGATTTAATTGTAATTATTAATAGCAATTATAACTATACTATTAATAAATTATATAATTTGCAGGAAGTAATTTGAGGAATATATCTAAATAATGAGAAAAATTGTTGTTTTTTTTTTTCTACAACTATTCTCATTTCAGGATTTTCATTATCGTGATAACATTTTCGGAGATTGCATGTAATCTAATCGTTAATAGTTTTAATGGACTTGTAGTTGGTTCTGGAGAACTTAACGGTATCGGAAATGAGCTCATTGAAACTGATGATTCTTTTTTACGATCTGCTTCACCAGCTATGGCATCATCTTCTGCCATCATAAATTCATTCCAAGGCAATATTGTTGGATCTAATTCATTACAAAATAATGCTGGAATATCATTGGTTGCAGCAAAAGTTACTCCAACTAATAATCGTTCACGGGTATCATTATCCGTTATATTGATTTTTTTGTTCATATTTCTTATAATTTGATTGAATCGAATTCATATTAATTTATCAATTAATTAATTTAAAATATGTAACGATAAAAATTTCATTCTGTGTACTCTTTTCTCTCTTGCAATGCTACTACTGCAACTAATTGCTCGAAATTTTCGTGCATTACAAATTTAATAACTTCAATTTGAGAAGTAGGGAATCGAACCATTTCCATTTATTAAAGTTCTTTTCCATTTGATCTTTTGCATGAAACATATATTCATTGCACTTTTTGATTATTATTATTATTATCATTATTAACTTCCCTCATAACAAACAACGCAAAACACAAAATTTTAACTTTCCTTCTAAATTATCAGCAGCTTATCAACAAGAAATCATACAAATGTAAACAATAAATACACTGATGACATTAATAATTATAAATGATAATAATTATTATAATAGTAATAATTGATTATTATTATTATTATTATTGTTATCATTATTATTATTAACAATTATGTTATCCTAATTCATCCAATCTTATCATGAAAGACTAAAAAAATGTTTCCAGATACTCTGTAACAATAGCACATATATTAAAATTCAATTTAATTTTAACAAGAATTCAATATTTGACAGAAGAAAACGTGTTAAAACAATAAATTAATTAAAACATTTTAATTAAACAGTAAATTAAACTTATCGATGCAAAATTATTAATGCAAATCATCAATGCAAATTAATGCAAAATTCATTTTTTATATTCACTGATAATTAATAAGCGTTTTAATGAAAAATTGTTTGGTAATTAAAAAAAGAAAGAAAAAAAATCATTTCGTTTGTTTTATCCATTTTCAATAATTATTATATTCATTATGCGTTTCAATTTGATGCGCAATTAATCTAATTAATATTATTAATTACTTCATAATATTTCTCTCTTTTTTTTTTCAACTGTAAAAATTAAGCAATTCATATTATAATTGCAGCAAATGAATCAATATCAATTATATAGGCGACGAATGCAAGCTTGGGCAGCTCAAATGCGAAAAAGATATCGATTGTATCGATTGGTAAGCATTATTCTTGGTGATAATATTGATAATGATATTTTGAGTTGAGAATTTAATAAGGTAAATTAGCGACAAAAATTATGGCAAATAAATTGAATCGCTTAGGTGAAACAATCCCAATAGGAGAAAATAAATTTTTCTAATTTATTAATTATAGCAAACAAAAATAAAATAATTAAATCATTTATTTCTATTTTTTTTATTGTTTGAAAATTTATTAAAATATATTCTATTTCAAAATTTACTCTAAGTTTTCTTTTCAATTCAAAATTGTTTTTTTTGCGGAAAATAACAATTTTGTCGTAAATTATATGAATGTGTCAAAATTAAGAAAATAATATATTTTAAATAATTTCCTTTCTTTTTTCTCAGTGCAAAATTCTATGTAATAATTTAATTAATTAATTAACACATATGTTAATTTTACAAGTATCGGATTATTTTGAAGATATAGGAATGAAATGCAAAAAAAGGAATGTATTTGATGATATCAATTGATTAATTGAAGATATCTTGATAATATCAATTAGAGAATGTTAAGATATCAATTGTAGTTGACAAATATCAATTGATAAGTGGAAAAAAAAACTAATATAAAATTGACATTAATTAATCATCAATTATGAAATGAAAAAAATGTTACATAACTTATTTTAGAGATCGAGAAAAAAATTAATAAAATACTTTTTGCTATGATAGCTTAGTGGAATTGCTTATAATGGAAGGATATCAACTACGCAGAAATTGTGTTGTTCAAAGTATATCTTTTGCAAGAAATATTAATCAATATTTATTCATAACTATTATGGCTTTTTTTGAGCATTAATTAATTAATTATGCTTAATGAAATAATTTATTTATCTTTCAGTACTACTCGCTATATCCATATGCTTATATCTATTGAAATTATTATTGAGAATTCCTTCCGATACATTCAAAAAAAGAGAAAACGACACCCATTTATGGCTGATTCTTCTACTCTTCCATTTACAATTTTTGTTTTTAATTATTATGCTACGAAAATTTCCAATTTTATTCTCCCAAAATATTACACTGAAATTACGAGGTTGAATTATTCGACGCCTTCAAACATCATTTCATAAACAATTATGAATTTTTTATAATTATATTCAATTAATTAATTGAGAAATTATATTTTGCTGTATTAAGGAAAATTCATAATTCGTTGTATTAAAGAAAATTTATGACTTCTTATTTACAGTATATTTCAAAATCACTGCTTTGATACCACCGTTTCCATTATTTGTTTCTTTTTTCTGCAATTAGATTGCTAAAATAGATTTTTGCGTAACAAACAAAATGGAAATCAATTGGATTAAGAAACGAACATAGCACATTTCTGCATAATTTATCATTTAATTTTTACAGCTATATATATATATATTGTGTTGAAACATTACAAGACAAAAATTCCTTCGATGAATGAGTATTTAGCAAGGTAAATACGAACCTAACACAGTTTAATGTTGTCAAAATCTTTTAGAAAAGAAAATTCACGTTTACATGTGACTATTGAGATCGTGATTTGAAACTTACGAATAATAACTGGTCTCGTAACATTTGTCGAAATAACATTTCCTCTTGTACAAATCACCACTCAGAAAGACAAAAATAGAGAGAAAGAGAGAGGGAGTTTATCAAAGATAAAAACTGGAAGTTTGTGAATATTTTTCAAGAAATAATATCATGCATAAAAAGCAATAATTGGTATTTGACCACCCTGAACACCCGTGCCATTTTTACTGTCCGCTGATGGAGCGAAATAAAAATTCACAGTGTCATTTTCTTCTTCGTCACTGTGTCCCTTTTCAATAGCAACCGCAACTTCTGTCATGCCCTAAAATTTGAAATCGAGAAGTTGTAAAACATTGAAATGAGGAGAAATCCAAAAATGTATGACATTGTGCTGATTCGATGTAATCACTGGTATATTACAAAATATTCTGAAAAATTGCTTAAGCATAACTATTAAATTACTTGAATTATGATTTGATTTTCTACTGCATAATGGATTCAAGTTTTTAATGCAGTAATAGTGGGAATCAATAAGTACATATGGCAAAAAACTTACTTCCTGGCCGAAAAAGCTCAAATCTTTGCCTTCCATGATAACCGATGCTGTATGCTTGACCTCAGCCTCAATCTGTAAATTATAAGTCAAAATGTGAAAAATCAGATCTAATTCCAACTTGGCAAAGACAATAAAAACCAAATTACGTGCACGGGATGATCAAAATGTATCAAAATAGGTTCTGAGCAACCCGTTGAGGAAAGAACAGCCTTTTTGCTTTCCACCACTTCTCCACCTCTCTTTAATTCCATCGTAACCTAAATTTTTAATAAAATCGGATTTTTTTTTGAAACAAATTCCTTTGGAAGGACGAATAAAATCGCAAAATCCGTTATCAAAGTTCTGCGAAAATGACAAAAAAATTAAAAATGGTATTAAAAAATACCATGTACTGTGAACTTTTTTCACTACTGCCATACAAACCATAACCAGCAACGTAAATGCGACGATCCACTAGGAATTGAATACTATCACATCGTCCACGGTAACGCCATTGATTCGTTCTACAAACGCTAACGTAAACTTATAACATCTTTCGAAATACAGATTTTTCTGCACATTGGTAACTGCTTTGGAAACAAATTTTTTAATGAAATAAATTCCATATTATCATGATTGTATGCTGAATTTAAAGAAAAACTATATACGTAATTTATGAGAAGTATTTATAAAAAGGACAAACCCTTCCAAAGCTGTTTGAAATCGAAGACATGAAAACAACCGTAGACCACTTCGTTCATTTACCAAGAATGGTAATTGGGGTTTTTCTTCTGCAGCAAAGTGTAAAAATATGTCATTAATTTCCTGAAATGATCCGACGATTTGCTCGATTCTCGATATATGTCTGCTGCGAATTGATCAGTTCTACACATATACTACTGCAGTTTAACATGGAAACAGCCGTTAATGTTTTCTTCTCTTAATAAGAACATAAAAAGTAACACTACCTGGCAAGTGAGCAAATCCGTTTTCGCCGGACCATTAGCAAATTCATAAATCGTCATGGCGGGAAAACGAATGTGATACAAAGCTTTGCTTAGCACATTCCGCACATTAACTTGTGAAATAGATAAATCCCGCCTGCAAAAAAGGAACAGAATCAGAAGAAGGGAACTTGCCTGAAATTCACAACAACGAAAATTAAATCAAATGAAAATTGCAAAATATAGAATTGAACACTATATTTCAGGCAGTATATCTTTTAATTTTTTTTCAACGTATAACTTTCAGGCAGTATATCTTTTAGAAAATTGGAAAAAAAAACTTCCTACTTTCTTTGCAAGCGACAAATTTTCTTAATAAGATAGTTCACCTCCCACATTCAGCTTTCGCCCATTTTAAAGCTGCTTCATAGACCAATTTTTCGCGGGTAAGAAGAGCATCACGCGATAAAATCTCGTCAAACAATGTAAAATCTATATCGCAGAAGGTATCCGATGTTAGAACTCTTTCGGCATCCACTTCCACTAATTTCCAACACCTCAAAGACACCGATGATTAAATCCGATATATAAATCTTGGAGGCGAGTGAAAGGATACACTTTAAATCTTTAGAGTAAATATTACCCACCTATCAATAAGTTCTTGTTCTTCCTCGAAGAGCTGGCTTTGAGTAAGCAATGAACAAACATTTTCCGCCTTCAAATTACAATTAAGGAAATCAACGGCTGCTTGCACCAGATGGGTTATCATATATTTCTTTGCTGCATATAGCGTAGGAAGAGCATTTGAAGAATCCAATTCAATGTTGTCACAGTACAGATACCTGTAGAAAACTGACAGCAGTGGGAAAAAAGCATTGATTAAAGACATTAATTATGGCTAGTTATATTTTAGATTTCAGAAACTTAAAAGCTAGAATGTGGTAAATATTAAGGAAATATCAAATTCTAATGATAAACTTCAGTAAAATTTTGAAAGCGACTGGATCCACATCCGGTAGCTCAATTTCATCGTTCTTTTCGAATCCACCATTGAACATAGCATTAAATGGAGCTGATGCTATTGCCAAAACATAAGAATGAGCTGGTATTCGCTCACTGTTCTAAAAGTTCTCTTAGAATGTCTAAATTTTGGAAAAAAACATGAAATTCAAACTGCAAAAGCGATGTAACATAAAAATAAGCAGGAAAACAATTTTTTCGACTTTTTTAAAATCATGATACTAACTTCGCCGATACCAACAATAAAGTGAACATCAGCAAGCCATTCATTAAGAAACATTGAGGCATTTCGTTCTCTTAATGTTGATTTGAACCCATTTCCATTAGACTTCGGTTTCGCTAAAACTAGATTTCAATCAGTTCGCAAAATTTTTGTTTCTAAAATATTACGGCAAATGATTAAGTTCAAAAATTCTCATAATTTAAGCGAAGTAATAGAATGTTACATTTTATTCGATTAAATAAAATATCACATTTTACCAAAAAGCATTTTTTTGGTTCGTTTTATCTTGGAATTTTTAATACTAACCAATTTTGCTTCGTGGTGCACGCGACAATGTGCCACCAACTGGAATGGTAATACTTACACCATCATATCGTTCTTTAACCCTTGAAATGCACGGTGGTAACTGAGATTGCGAAATCTCCGAATTCTCCGCAAAAACCTTTAAGTTCCTTATTGAAAGTATATCAGAAATAAGATCAATTAGTCGGAACCTTCTGATTAGAAAACAAGTTAAAGAAAAAAAGAAACACCTGCTGATTGTAACATTCACCATTACGAACTGTTGCACAATTCATAGACGTTAAGGATTGCTGACCATAGTCACCACTAGTACTAGCTTCGAAATCCACACATTGGAGATTCGATATATCTTCAACAAGTGACATATCCTGCATTCCATCTCCTTGCTGTACACCTCAAAATATGAAAATCTAATAGTAAATGAACAAAGCAAATTCCAAATATCGTCTTTCCGACCGAATAATATTTGACACAATGCAGACATTTTAAGAGTTATTATTATTACTATAGAAAATTATTGAAAGATTAACTAATTCCTTTATTTAGGTAAATTTGGAGAAAATGGAAAGGATGAAGAAACCATATTACCTGACCCACATTTTATCAGATCCGACGACATCATTCCTTGTCACTTTATTTTCATTGATTCGATTATTAGCTATATAATTCTAGAATAAAATAAATCAGTAAAAAAGATTAAACATCTCAAGTTAGAAAAACAAATACTCTCCTTATCAAAACCTTCCTGTTCTAAATTTCGAGCTATTTTTGCTCTAATCAATCGAATAAGTCTGTAACTTTCCATAGTTTGATAACTTTCTGGCCTCAATGATTCTAAGCAAGTTATAGAACTGGTTGAAATGCTACGAAAAATTTTAGCGTGCATCACGATAATACGCTATTGGGCGATCAAAAAAAAATAAAAGAATAGCATACAATCAAATAAGACATTAAAATTACTATCATTCGGAAAGTATATATTTCAAATAAAGATTCAAATTACTATATGATTACTAATTCTTTTGTGATTATTAAATCATTATACTATAATCTTTTATTACAAACAAATGACGATAAAATAAAAGTCACAACCATAATAATCCCAGATTATAAAAATTTCAGAACATACCAGATGCAAATAATACACGTATAATGAGCATAGCAAAAGGAAAGTATCACATAATATTACTTGACTGGAAAAGAAAAGATTTCACTATTTCCTTATTCTTCAATGAGTAAAAAAATAACAATAAACTGCAGTGTCGCTGGAACTGATTGACCAGTTTATTACGATTCATACTGATAACCATGCTATTGAAGAATCTATGACAAAATACAACCATAATGATTAATTGGTAGAACGTAGTAATCAATAATTAACCGAAGAAGCAGCAATTCAAGACTTTAATGATGCAACGATAAATTCTAAGGAATAAATTCTAATGATTTGATTCAGAAAATAATTAGTTTCCTCGGAGATTACTGATATTGAACTGATGCATTGCATTCTATGAATAGGATGACTTAATTTATTTCATAGAGCTATGCCATTAAAATTATCGTTGCCATATCAGAAGTTATAGAATGTCATATTTTCATCGAAACGAATTATGGAAAAAAGCTCAAGCAATCACAGTAATTAAAATTTTTTTCTCTTGCCTCCAGTTGAATAAAACCAATTTAGGAAAGTTAGCGAGGTAAAGTGAGGATTTAAAATGACTTCTTTTTAAATTGAAACATAACCCGCTACAAGATGAAACAGTGATTTGAATTAAACAGAGTGATAACTAAAATTGTATAGACGGATTTTCAGCAAAGCAGTAAATGGTACGAATTCGTTCCTTCGCTGGTTCAAAATTGGACTGCATCGACAGGGTCGAATAATAGAACATTAAGGCATGCTGGTATTTTTCCTGCAATTTAGATTTTGGAGCCCTTTTAAATCTACAATGAAAAATTAATATTATAGAGAGAAGGAGGATACTCTTTTCCTGCTCTTAGAATTACAACCAATAACAAATAAAATTCATATGTCAATAAAAATATCTTTAAAAGATTAGGTTAAGCAATAACTAACAAGTAAAAAAATTTACATATTCAAATTGACATATTCAAATTTCAAGCTAAATTAATACAAAGTAAAATTTAAAGACTCACTAGTGAAGCATAAATATTAGCAAGTGTAAAGTGAATAGCGACAAGTTTGGGTGAAATCTTTAACGCAAGGCCACCAGCAATCAAAGCACTGTGCAAAAGCCCCGCTTGCTGATATATGTTAGCCATACTGACCAAAGCTATGTCCTGAAAAGCAGAGTTTATCTACATTCAGTTGGACAAAGAAATGAAACAACTGATATATTTCTAACCTCAGAAAAATAATTTTTTTGTCCAGGAAGAACAGTCACAAATCATTACATAAACACTACGATCTGGAAGCTAGCTTCCGAAGGACTCTGATATTTAATTTATTTCAGTTCTGTAAAATTATTACTTTGTAATACTTACTTTCATTGTTTATTGATGAAAAACTTACAGATTCTGATTTATGCAGTATATAGCAAAGTGCAAAAATGAACAATTTTTAAAGTCATTCTTTTCTTTTTCTCTGTTATAATAAGAAAAATTACTCTCATATCTGGCGGGGCTGAATTCAGCGATTGTCTCAGACACTTCAGTGCATTCACAGCATCACCTTTTACACGCCAATACAAAGCTGAAGCAGTTGATAAAGACCAGTGTACACCATCCTCATCTAAAAATAAAAATGCCTGTAATACTTGGCTACGAAAAAAAAAATTGGAATAAATCTTTTTGTCTGAAGCTGTTCCCTATTTTACACCGTAATTCATTTCTATAGCTTTGAAGAACTTCAAAAAAGCTATATAGAATAGAATCAATCAATAGCTATCAATCAATATAGAATCAATAGCAATAATTTGTATTATTTGAATAAGAAGGTTAAGAAGTAAAGAAACTTGCTCTGCGCAAATGACAATGACATAGCATCTTTCAGTCTCTTCGCAACCATCTCAATTCGTTCTTTTCCTTTTCCGAATTTTAGAAATGCCTTAAAACTATGAAATCAAGAGAAACACTATTGAAAGCAAATTATTGCAATATGATCACTTTTAACATATATCTGATACGTCGCCTTCAGGGAAGAATTTATGAAACATAAGCAGTCAATCAATAAGTTACTACTACCAATATTTTTCTTTCAATTTCTCTCTGACGGGAATTTAAAACTTACATCTGTTAATCCTTTTTCAGGCTTATAATGAATGAATTGATGACGAAGATGATAAGCTGGCAGGTGATCAAGAGTAAGAAGCGGTGAAGGTGACAACAATTCTGGACAAACAGGTTCAAAATCCTCGTTTAAGTTAACTGGTGTTTGGAAATCGATGAATTCCCCCAGATTCACTCCTTTGGCTGTTACGGATAACCAAGTTGACGTGCTCTGTTCTCGAAGGATCGCTAAGCTCTGAAAATCAGCAATGCACTATTTGTAGAAAAAATTAGAATATTAAATCCCTGAATAAATAATAAAAAATAAACTTCGATAGGTTCTTTGTACCTTAAAAACAATAACAACTCTTTTGATACACTTTTAAACTTTTTTTTTAATGATGAGCCAAATTCCTACTGAAATTATGACATCGTCTACGTGATCGCTACTTTAAATTTGTGCACCCCAATTTGGTTATCTGTTGCCCAATTTCCATAACAACATCATTACTACAAAATAATGCAGAAAGAAACATGCCATTTCATGCAGCATCAGCTAACTTTCTTGGAAATCGTTAAATTAGAAATGCTTTCATATCGTTTAAATTACTAACCATTTTAATGCTTGCACAAAAATTACTGTTTGGTGTGTGCTTTGGTGGCAATGGTACATACCGGAAACCACTCGTGATTTGATCTTTAGACGGCAGCGGTAATTTCTGTAATAATATATAGAAAGTAATGCTCATTTGGATAAGTCTTAATGACTTCACCTATTTTAGGTAGTTTCAGATGATATAAAAATTATATCGAATCAGTCATCCAATCAATGACTGGTTTGATACAATTTTTGAAAGTTTACAAAATAGAAATTTTCATACGGAGGGAAGTGGAATGTCGAAAGCAATCATTCTTCGTCGTTCCGGAACATGCATCAAAGTTAGCTGACCCTTAAATAAACTTTATAAACAGCAATAAAAGGCTAAATTAAAAGAGATACAAAAAACTCCAAAGATTAGCAACATTTAACAAAAATATTTAAATAGTAGGGACAAATACGGCATTTAATATGATAGAAACATTTATTCCATACAAAGTCAGCTTACATCCGGTACAATTATTTTGTCAGCAGGTACATCCATTTCCCAAGAATCAATCACTTCCGTTTCCTTTGGCGGAGCGCTCTTCGTAAATAGGATCTAAACTTTGCAACTGCACAGCAAGCCATTAGCTTCAACGTAAACTTCCCTTTTTTGAATAAGAATCAAAACAACTGCATCAAATCACGGTTTAATCAAAAAAAAGACACAAATTCGTTTAGTAAATTGTAATAATCAGTCGATTTACTAAATCAGAAATTCGAGTAAACCTCGCTTTGGAAGAAGCTTTCTATTGAAGGGGCAGTCATTTTCTGGACTTTTCTTAAACTTTCTTCAGCTCCATAATCCAATGGGATCTGAAATATCCTTACTCAGAAATGCAATTCAATTTCGATTGAATTGAAAAAAGCAGAAATATTATAATCATAAAGAACATTCGGCAATAAATTTTACATTAAAAAATTTGGATAGATGAAAATGGAAGCAAACAAATACTGATATATTCCCTACAAATTTAATCTTAAAGAAAAATGCCAATGAGGAAACATTACTTCATCAGAAACATCTATATTTGTCTTCCGTTGAGCAATCTTTGAATGTTTGATTAACTGCTTCTGCGCTTTTTTTTCAATTTCTATAAGAAAATTAAATTTAAGAAATTTGAATATAACTGAACATTTTTTTCTGCGGAAGTAATTGCTTCAGTTTGGAGATTTAAACAAAATAATAGAAACTATTTGTAAAACTATTGGTTCTTTCACCTTAACATTATTTTTTCTACATTTTGTAATCGCATTCTATTAATATTTTGCAACATTTTGAAAAAATTAGGAAATTCGATCCTAAAGTTTAGTTCAGACAATGCTTGAATCATAACATCACCTCTAAATATATTGCCATTTAATCAGCCTAATCAAAAGAGTTGCCTGTTCGATTAATAAGAAATTCTTTAAAGTCTATCAATTCAGTGAATTAAATTCTAAATGACAGCAATGTTTAACAATATCGAAATAGTTCATACCATTGACAATGCTTGGATTTAAAGGTAAAATAAAAGGTGCAAACGAAAAAGCACGCCTGCAGGAGTCCTGAAACAGAATTTTATATAAATACCACTGATCCTGTAAATCTAAGCTAGTCACTGCACCAATCTTTATTAGTCGCATAATCAAACATAGTTTGAAAAAATGACTAAACTATTTCTTTTGACTATAAGGCTACTTTTACACATAATCAATCCAGCCAGACCTCAATATTTTATTTGCTTAACATTGGACCTAATTTAGGATGCAGATAAGTGAATTTTTTCGAGTATAGTAATGATCTTGTGTATGTTGATATTCAGTTTTAACAAATTATAATTTAATAATAAATAAAACTTTACTACTAAAGTATATAAATGGTATGAGAGAACATCAAAGGAAACTTGAAGAACAAAAAGAAAGACAACAATGCTAACCACCTCTTTTTTTTTAGAAGCCACCGGACAATTTGCTCCCATAAATTCACCTTTCTTGGATACCGTGAAGCATCGGTCACTAAGAATACCAAGACAATAAACATTCGACTCCTCTTGGGAACAACAATGTAAATGTAATCGTTTGGCAAACAATCTTTGTTCATTCTGAAGTAATAAAGATTTATTCCTTTCCCAATATATTCATTTCATTTCGCTATATCTTATACTCTTTATTGAATATTTTCTTGTGAAATCATTGGACAATATGCATCCTACAGAATTAAGTCCATCTTTCTTTAAATCAATTTAGTGAAAAAATATCTAAAAGATTTTAAAAAAATGAGGGAAAAATGTTAAAGAACAACTGAATCATATCCGATGAGTTACAATTACAGTCAAGGAAGCAATGAGGCAAAAATATTGATAAAGTTCTTACTTTACTCAAACATTTCAACGCGTGAAGCACAGCAACAGCTGGCTGAAATAAGGGATCCAGAATAACTGCAGCGCGAACGTGTGCCAATGCGGTGGTATGTTTCTTTTGCAAAATTCTTACAATTCCCATCAAAATATGTGTTATGGGCTGGAAACTTTTCACGGTCAAATTTGAAAAAATCTAATTCTCACGAAATCTTAGGTATATCACAAATCACAAATATCATATAGGGTACTAATTTCTTATTCAATTCCATAAGTATTACGTGGATAAATTACATAATAATTTAATGTGAGTTGAATTTAATATGATGACCCAATAACTAGTACAGAAATAAATATTTAGTTTATATGTTGGCACACATGAGCTATTTCTTATAGTGACTATTTTGTCTGCCAGAATTTGCTATCCACAGAGAAAAAGATCGAAAAAGCTCTCCGCTATTCTGGAACTTTGCCAGAAATATTGCAATGTAAAGTAAGGTCCATCACAAAACATTTTTCTTTCAACTTTTCATTTAAAAATTAATATGGACAATTTTCATCCCTTAAAATATTTTAAAATTCAGCTAAAAATTAAAGGATGTGTTCTTCGATCCTCAGTAAAGTTATTTTGAACCATAAAACTTTCATTATGTTATGGACAAACATACGACTTGAATTATAGTTAAATTTTTAATTTGAAAAGTACAAAAGGAAGAGAACAAACCTCATTCGGATCAACATCAATTGCACTGTTCATCAGAAAGGCAGCATCGCTTAGGTAATCCTTATAACTCCTACCGAAACGGATAACAATCTGCGCTAGCTGCACCAATGCAACATCTGCGTATCGTTCAAACTGAACGTGATTAACATTAACGAAAGGAAGAGAAGATACCTGTTTCACATTTCTTAACTTGACACAACAATTTCACATTAATAACATAATCTGACTCAGGTAAATAAAAGGCAAAGGAAAATGGAAAAAATAAGTATATAGATGCTAAATTTACCGGTAGATGCGCAATAAAAGATGAAAAGATTACGACAAATGATAAAAGATGAATAAAAGGATAAAATGAATGACATGGTATGACAAAATCAATACTTCCAAAGAATTCATAAACAATTAACCTAAATCTATACCCAACTTACTTTTCAATGAAAAAAATTGAGGAAAATAATGGAAATTAAGATTATGCAAAAATTAAGATGGAAATAATTACAGATGAAACAGCCTGTATTGTAAAACAGCTTACAGAACATAGACCAAACAAATTTGCATGTCAGGTTGTTCGCAATTTTCGAAAACTGCGCACAGGCTAACATTCAGATTTATATGGTGTTGGGTAATATAATGCTCTCTAAAATTAGAAGAAATTAATAAAAATATGAATTTCGTTTTTCCCAAATTTGGGGCTGTTTACCTAAATTAATCCTCTCTAAATTCTGGATTCTGGCCAGAAATATATGCAAGTTACATATAATTGTGATGATATTTTTAACTTGTCAAATGTTTCTATATGAAACTGGAAGATCAAAAAATTTTCTAACCTGTGCCTGCAACGCCGCACGAAGACATGTAATTGCTTCACTCGGTACACCAACAATCCTCCAATACAAAGCTGCTAAATTGTAAACTAACCATTGTGGTCCAATTTTCTGCAATTTAATTAGATTAATTAATGTAAAAATTATTAAAAAAAAATCACTCATCAAGTTTAATTAATGTAAAAATTAAAATGAATTACTCATCCAAACTCAAAAAAAATTCGTGTTAACTCAGTTCTCTTTATGAAAAAATAAATGTCCGAAGTACGAAGAAACCAACATATTTCATAAGAGTTCCGATACGTTGCGCAATATCTGCCTCAGTAATTTTATCATCCATAAGCTTCAAAAATACCGCTTGAAGCTTATCTTCCGCAAATTGTATCGATGGACCATGTGCTGCTGCTGCACGAATACCAGGCAGCTGAAAATTTTTTTGCCGATCGTGAGTAGAACGATCTATTTATTGCTTCATAGTTAGCTATGAAAGCTTAACTTTTTCTTGAATGCTGTTCTTTGTTACAATCTTAGAAATAGATCCGGAGAGCTAACGTAACTGTCACTATGATGAGTATTAAGACAAGGAAAAAATGAGCTGCTTAAACACATTTTTTTATCACACAGTATACTGAATCAATCAAATATTCAAATCTATTGAGCAAATAGTTCTTGATAATGTTAGAATGAATTCTTTCATTTGAAATCAAACAACATATTGATTAAAACTACTTTAAGTATAGCTTGTAGTGGTTCCTCGGATATGTAAATGCCACAAAAAGGTTGATGCCATGGTAACGGATGTTCCTCACCATCGTCCAGGCCAAGAAATTTGCCAAGTAAATCGGATGACCTGATTTAAAAGTATGATAGAAGACAATTATTAGTTATTAAAAAAACTTAACTCTACAATCAATACCAAAATATTACCTGAATCCTTTGTTGTCCGGGCTTAAGAAAAGTTGCGGGAGATTCTCCGCCGATGGAAGTGGAAAATACCAATAACTGCTTTCACATAATGTTTTATTTGGCCAACTGCTATTCAAATAATGTTTCAGAAGTTCATTTATTGATGGCAACCTAAAAAGAAATTAACTAGACGCAAAAATCCATAGAAATGCAATTTAAAAAAAAATTACCGAAAATTTCAATATTTACTCTAGTTATGCACAAAAACCCTAAATTTCAAATCTATAATTTACTGCTTTCGTGGGTAAACTGGCTTGTCAATTGGATCATCCATATTCATTTCTTTTATGAGCTCCAGTTTCTCCAGAAATGCTGTCAGTTCACGGGAATCATTCAAATTTTCCACAACCTTTCGCGCATTGTGTTTCAGTGTCTGGAATATGCTTTCTATAGATAAAGTCTCAAACACGAGCTTTTGTAATAGTCTACCCAATATTTCAAATATTTAATTTTCAAAATATTTATCACTTGTTTATATTTAAATTTAATCAAGCGATAGAAAAAAATTTGAAAGTCTTAAATCACGAGACTGCTCAAATTTTGACAAGCAACAGGGGAAAAAAGAATTTAGTGATTGAAATATTTTCTATCGATACACGGCATTACTTTATGATTGTTATTGCTATAAAAAAAGAAAAAAAGATTTTCCAGTATACTGAGGTATATATATATCACAGCAATGGATCTGAAATTATAACCGCTAGTAGTTCCCACCAACATCAATCGTTGAATCCCAGTTAATTTACAGTAAACAAAGAAATAATTATAGATTGCGCTAGAATGCTTTAAAAATGCTTTAAAAAAATGCTTTAAAATCTATGCCGAATAATTGAATTATATTATGTTACTAAATAAACTTTTTCAACTTGAAAGAGAGAGACATACGTTTTTTGCTACATTTCGTTTAACATTTGCAACAAGTTTACGATGTTTTTCTTCACGAACAGCTTGATAACTTCGCCAATCGCTTACGGTGCACCGCATTACTAAACAACCCGAAATCGATACTGAACGACAGTTCGAATCTATAGTTAATATAATCAATTAATGCACAAATTTCGGATACAATTTGGAACAATGAAATATATATATTATTCAGTAGCTTAAGCAATCACCTGAAATACAACCATTAAGTATAAGATCCAATTCTCGAGAAGAATTGTTTACATGTTAGAAAGACGAAAGAAGAGAAAAACTTACAGGGTATGCTACCATAAGTGAAATAATCATAAATCAAGGTAGACTGCACTTTTTCTTCAAGATTTACAACATTTTTCTTCACACTTTCTTCCAGTTTCTTTATTGCCTCATACCTTAAGAACAAAATGAATGAAATCAAAGTTTTCAAGTAAATAATTAAAAAAATAACTTTATTTTTTAAAATGATCAAAATTAATCGCTGAAAATGAGTAATCAGAAAAAAATATCCCTAGGAAAATAAAAGAATATGGGAATTAATCATGAAGCAAACGTTCGGATACTTGTCATTATACAAGTTTTTCTCTCTGATTGTATCAAGCAAATTTTTGTGTTGCTCCTCCATTGCATTGATTAATTTTTGATCGCATTTTAGTGCTGCTGCCTATAAAATGCCACTTCAATAAGCCAGTGTAGTGAATAAATGGATTAAATCTTCGTCAAAGATTCTGCAATAGTGCTATGAGTCCAATTCATACTATCGACTGATTTTTATGACATATACTGGAAGGATACAAATACAGATGCCAAAATTGACAAAGCCTAACTCTCTTATCCCACTTTATACTTATCGCTGCAATTTAGAACTCCTCATGAGCTAATATTATAGCAGCTGCAGACCGAGCAAAACTAGCCAGTCAGTTTATTAGCTCACAACAACAAATACCTTAGTTTGAAAAGTATTATGAAACACACTTTAACTTGGGCATTTTTCATTGATGGATCTAATGAAAAAGCAATGTCATACTGCCCAATCGCTTCCGATCGGTTCTGCACCAATGCATATGCATCAGCTAGGGCCATATGTATCACAGCATCATTGATTTTCAATAACGCTAGCTGGAAACATTATAAGTTAAAACATAGTTTATTTAGAACTATATCTGCAGTTAAACGGAAACACAAACTTGATAAAGAACAATCGCATCTGAGGGATACCCAGCGCGGTGCACTAAATTTCCAAGATCAAACTGAGTACGAGCTTGCATTTCTCTGCAAAACAAAATCTGAGATAGAAATACATCCCGGAAAGTTCAAAAATTTATTGGAAATTTAAAATCTAATAATATGATGAAAAAAAATCTATGCAAGATCGCCAAAAGATTCTCAAATTACTATTCTTCCGTTTCCTACGGACTTAATTTGGAAAAAAATCCTGTACATCAGAACGAAGTCTGACAAAATATAGAGCTCATACTTATGAAAGTTTGTTTGATGTATCTAAACGATTAATCTGATACTAAATCTTCAGTGCCATTTACTTTTAGCAAAAATTGGCTTTCGAGAGTTTTTTGTTTCATTTCGCTACTTCCGTCATTGAAGAATAACCCGATTCTATAATTTACTTTGTTGTAAAGTGTAATGCACGCCGAAAACATTCCACAGCTTTTGGAGCATCACCTTTCATCCGCCAATATAAAGCAGCTAACCGCAAAAACGAATCACTAGTTGGCTTCTGAAATTATTCTTTTCATACGGTGAAACACCATAAAATATTAAAAATTTCTAAGTTTCACCTAATAACAGAATTAATGAGAAAGACCGTTTCCAATGCTTTCGCAACATGGCTGCCAAATCCAGTGATTGAATAATTTGGAGGAAGTAATTGCTGAAATGCAGCCTCGGGAATGACTTTGAGTTTGTCACGTTGCTGCACAGACTGAAAATGTACATCTTAAAAAGCGGAAACTTGCACAGCCAATTAATAATTGATGCTTTACTCCTAATTTTACAGGTATCAACTGAATCAGTAATAAAAACTAGCCAATAGAGAACATTTAATAAAAAACTGTTTTGGCTAAAACGTTAATATCATACCGGAAAATGTTCGAAAGCATACATACTAAACTGCAAATCGTATATGCAATGCGGTTCCATTCCCGGCTTTTGTTTATCAGCATTGAATTCAACGCTGGCTAAAATCTCCAAACTGAAAATTCAATGTATCAAGAAATTAAACGAATTAAAAAATAATATAGACAGGGTGTTCAAATCATTTAATCCTTATTAAATGGCAATTAGCACGAACGTGACAGCAATTCACGATGTTTATCTACAGTTTAATTTCACAGTAGGAAGCATAAAGATTGAATTATAATAGCTTAAGATCATCTTTCAACTTTTCTCAAAAGCAGATTTGAACTTACGGAAATGCATAAAATGAGAATGCATTCTAAACTAGATCAGAGCAAAGCAAGCATAATGCCTTGTACTCCTCAACTTATAAAAAGGCAGTTGATGCAAATACAAACTAAATTTATATCAAATTTATTTTTACAAAAAAAAAAAATCACATAAAACTACTCGCAAAGTTTTAAAACACTTACTCTCCAACCAACTTCCCAAGTGTGTACGCTAACAAGAAAGAATCTTTGTTAATAGATGTGAATCCACTCGTTATACAATCTTCATCAGTCTTACGAATTTTCGTTTCTAGCTCTGGATCATCCGCATTTTCATGCACAAGAATATTTTTCTGCAAGCAGTTATCACTTTATTTATATTTCAATAACAATGCATTACGAATAAAACACGCAGTATTTATTCTTGAAAAACACTGCTCGTCTAAATTTAAGGTATTATATACTTTGAAATACCCTCCCTACTTCACAGACATTATGCTCCTTTCAATAAATTACAGAAATAAACAAAACCTCATGTTCTTCAATAAAAGCCCGCATATCTGTAATACGATTTAACTTTCGTTCCTGTTCCAAAAACTGTACCAACGAATGCGGCTGTACCATATGATATGGTGAATCAGACTGAAATGAAAAATTCTTTAACCTGATAGCTGATAATAAATTAAATTGTAACTGATCAAGAATAATTCTTCGTTAAAAATATTTTGAAAAGAAAATGTAAAAATAAGTGAAAAAAAACTATCCCAAAAAAAAACTACATTGGAAATAAAATGATAGTACTTGGAGATATGAAATCTTCCTAGAAAAAAAATGAAGAAGGTAGAGGAGCAAAATAACGTATGCACAATCTATTCTAACTCCATCCTTAAAACGCTACATATTGAATTGATCTGATAGAAATATCTTTGGTATTTTATGTAATAATTCCAATCCTTAGATTTTCTAAAATGAATCATTTACATCATTTGACAATTGTACTAAAAAAATTGTAAGGATAACTACTTACAACAGATTTTATTGTAAGTCCATCATCAGTAACCATCCAATGAGTAAAGCATAATCCATCATATAAGAACAACGGTAGTATGAATAGAAGGCAAGTTTCGGCACATATTCCCAATATCATTACTTTTTTATTAAATCTGAAAAAATTACATGCTTACGATCTAAATTCTTTTGATCACGTAACATAGGAACAAAAATTTTTTAAATTAATAATTTCATTAGATTTCTGAAACCTTTTCAACAAAGATAGAAATGAACCATGAAAATTTGAATAATATCAAATCTTCACTTATGACCTGTTACTCTTAATTTAATTTCATAAGTGTCAAAATATATTGCTCGAGATTGTGATTACTTTTCATTCTTTTAACTATTAACTAATGATCTATTCTAACAATGCTAATATTCTACTTTGGTATTCTCAAACTTTCTAATTTGTATTTTCTAGTTTATTTCCATATCATAATATAACTTGTATACCATATTAAAACAGCCATGAAAAATAATTTAAAAGAAAAAACGGAAATAAACTGTCAAAAGCAGAAAGTACAAATAAAAAAAGGAGAATAGTAAAATGAAAATAAGAAAGTAATAGTATAAATTCAAATAGAAAATAGAGAAATATATATATGAAAAAAGAAATGTAGGAATTGAAAAAGAAAAAAAACACGAATATGGAATTGAAAACTAGTAAGGGAGAAAACGGAAATAGAGAAACAAAAAAATGGAAATAGAAAAATTGAAGCGGAAAAATGAAAATGGAAAAAGCAGGGACGAGAAAAAAAACACAAAACTGAAAAATCGGAACAGCAAAGTGGAAATAAGAGTATAGAAGCAAAAAAATGAAAATACGAAAATGAAAACAAAACAGAAAAAACTGGAGCACGGAAAAAAATATGGAATAGAAAACGGGAAAAGTAGAAAGCTGTCAATATTCCGCATTAGACACACCGGCTACCAGTCCCCTTCCTACCCTTTCATCTTATCTCGTACGTCAAATACGTTTAAAAACCTTGGTATGAGGTATTTCGTGACTCGGACTACGCAATCATCCAAAAACGAATACAGAATACCTTTACATGAAACATTGAATTATTATTTGGTTAGCCACTTTGTGTGGAGCTGTAAATTATTATTTGGTTGGTTGCGTTTACGTGGAACATTAAATTGTTTTTATTAGCTTTGCAATCTTTAGGTTAAACTAGGTTGGCTATTTCGAGTTATTGTTATTAGGTTATGATGAAACTATTGTTATTTGGTTTAGTTCTGGTTGAATATTAAGTTATTAGTTGTTGAGCTGATTATTTGGTTTACCCAACAAAATTTTTTCTACCTAAAAATATTGCATAACTTTCTGTATATTTATAAACAGAAAAATTAATTTGAAATTTTTTCTGAAATGTAAATGCATTGGTGATATTGTACTACGAAGAGTATTATACGAAAATAACATTAGTAATTTAATACGTGGATGTTAAATGATTGTATTACATCATGAAACCCACGTGTGACATATTACAAGAATATTAGTACCAGCTGAAATTGTTACATGGAGATGATTAGTGCCATAAGACATAATTCCATTAAGTTGTAAAAATTATTATTTTCTTATGAGGTACAAATGGTTAACATCAGAAAGCATAAAATTCGAACTTGCTACAGTGTTTCTGGAATAGAACAGAATAATAATAGATGTATAAGCTGAAATTTTACGCAGCCTGATTTCAGTTAATTTAAACTAAGAAATTAAATAAGCTACAGGTAATAAAAATAAAAATAATGGAACCTAACTAGTTGAATATCTAAGCTGGGCAAAATTTTAGCTTTTCCTAACAGTTTTTTTCCTTTCTTTTTATATGAATCTAATTTCAGATAAATTCAAACTTGTATAGATAGGATAACGACAATGTATGGTCATCAATCGATCCCACGATCGGTGAGTACGGGACAATTGAACGCCATGATGTCACATCCTGGAATGGTTATTACTTCGCAGCAGATAATGAATACGGTTTACATTATTCATTGCTTCTTGTTATATTTCACCATGTTGATAGCCAAGTCAAACGGCTGCTTTTCTTTTGCATTCACTACCTCTTCAAATATTTTATTTTATTTTTTGACTTTCTTGTACTTGAATGAACTAGGATAATTCTGTATTTTAGAATTAAACTTCGTAGTTGAAACCTGGAAATATTCAGCATTTCTACGCTTACTTTTTTCAAAGAAAGAAGTCTCTTCGTATATTGCTTGTCTTGAGCAGTTTATTTTTTTATTTTTTTAAACATTGAAGAGATCTAGGGAAAAAGAGAGAATTGAAACCGGGAAAGGGAACAACGAGAATTTGCTACTGTATGCTGCAAGTAAAAGAATCATTGTGGTAGTTTTGGAAGTTTCCAAACAATGATATTGATTGATTCTTCACGTATAAGTATTATTAATAAATTATTGTTTAATTGTAGGCATATGTAATTAGTTATCACAAATTAATTGATTGCGATAGAACATAATAATTAACTACTTCAAGTTGAGATTTACCCCATCTTCTAGTTTTCGATTATATTAAGGAACTGAAAAAAATCTTCATTTTTCCAATTTTAGCCTCAAGGTGTAATGGTTTCGCAGGCCGGTTATCCGCAAGGTATGATCAATACCGCCCAACCAGCACCACAGATGATGCCATCTCAGGCTCATATAGGTCAACAAATGATGAATACACATATGGGTATCGTACAAGGCCTCAATCAATCTGGCCATATGAATGTACAGCATCAACAAATGCAACCAATGCAGCAGGTTCAGATGGCTTCGCAACAAGCATATATTCAAGTGAAATTTATATTTACTAAAGCTTTTTTAGTTGAATGTTTAATTAAAACATGGTCTTACTCTTGAAATGGTCACATAACATGAAATGAATAAGTTAATACGAATGAATAGTTTTCAATTCCGGACAGGTTCTTATAAATAAGTAAAGATTTACTAATGTTGACCACTTTTGATTCCAGCTATTCCTATTAAGTTTTCGGGGATTAATTCAAGCTTTAAAATGCCATTACTGATTTAATTTTTTTTTTGTACTATAATGGCAATTTTGCTTTCTTTATGATGGATTTGGCACTGCCACGATTTGGCCAAAAACTGAAAAAAATTTTTTATCAGTTGGGTTTTTTTACAGTCTTTTTTTATAAAAATTCGTTCAAAACTTTTCAGCAACAAGGAATGTCACATCCCAATTTCGTGAGTGGACAAGCACGGAGTCCAGCTGTTGGAGCTGGCCCGCAGGGAATTTCGGTAGGTTCTTCGGAATCAATTTTTTTTCTTGATTTAAAACTTTTCGAAATATTGCTGCAAAAAACATTTTTTGAAAATTCTGGAACTTTTGATGCTTGCAGTGATAGTTCTTGCTTTTTACAGCAGCAAGGAACACCAGGTAGACCATCTTCAACTGGCGGACCGCCGTCAAATAATCCTCAAACACCGCTGAATGCTATCTCAACCTTAAATCCATCATCGCAACAAGTTTCTACACCTGCAACTCCTCAACAAGCACCATCATCCGTACAGTCTACTACCACCCAGGATAATATATCAACACCTATCATAGTACCGCCAGATCCGGTATCGTTAGCCAGAAACCTGTTATTGCGGGATCTTCGGTATTCGCTACAGGTAAGGCAACACAGTATTACAACTGAATTGCAGAAAATTTTTGATTTGCTGGTCTTAGGGTTGTGCTAAATTTTGGCTTAAAAGTCTATCCAAGTTTCCTGTGGTTGTATATTCTGAGTATTTTTGCCCAGTTTTCTTCCTCACTGCACGATTTTTTTCGCAAAAAATAGCATTTTTTTCTACTACTAGGTTATTTGAATTTGATTTTAAGTTTTTAAAAGGACTGGAGCAAAACAGCTGCTGAAGTGGTGCGGCCTTCAACATTACGGCAACAGCAGGATGGATCCGGTACCGCGACACATAATCCAATGTCTGTTAATCCACAATCTGTCAATCCGCAGTCAGTGAATCCACAGTCAGTGAATTCTGTGAATCCGCTATCAGCAAATCCAAGTTCAGTGAAATCATTAGACGAACCGAAATCAGTGGAAAATTTGGAAAAAAAAATTTTGAGTCCTAACGAAGCATATATCAATTCATTGGATTATTTTCTCGGAACCTGTGATCAAATTGAGAATGATATTGTAAGTTGTCAATAATTTATAAATTTATAATTTTAATAATTGATGTTGACCATAGATAAGCACTTGATTAAAATTTCAAGAATTAGATAGAAATAATAGAGAAGGAATAAGACAAAGAGAATTTAAAAGAAATGAAAAAAAATGGAGAAAATCAATGATATACTCTAAAAGCGCTTAACGAAACCGTGTAGCTTTATTGTACTGTCCTCTGATTACTCGAAGTAAGGTACTAATATTTGATTTACATCTCAAAATTGTAATTATATTAAATTAGTTTATCCTGGTTGATCTTCACAGATGGTTGTACAAGAAGCCCAGAGGCAGAGCGTCAAATTTGATAAAATGTTTGCTGGTGAACTGAAAATAGTTGGTGAAATGGCGAATGTGAATTATTCACAATATGCCCAAGGTTACGTAGAATCAACGGCAAGGGTGCGAAACGCGATCACTCGTACTTTGAAGAATCTCAATGCCACGATGGAACGAATGAATGCTACGAAAATTGTTAGTTTTTAGAGAATTTATTCATAATTTAGAGAACCTTTTTCCGTATCATTTGTTAGGCGTTGTGATGGAGGTGAAGGGTAGATTCATATTTGTAGACGAAGCTTAAGGTTTTTTTCTGTTAGTCTCAGTTTATTAGCTAAGGCTTTGATCTTAAACACGAAATTGTGGAACCGTAAAGGATTGGAATTTTTAATTTTCGGCGTTTGAATATGCAGAAAGCAAGCTGGACTAACGAAGTTATGATTTTTGTCCTCTTCGGAATCCATAAAGATTTTGCAGGTTCAAAAGGATATTGAGGAGAAAATGGCAATGTAAATTTTTCGGCACAAAGGAGCTGTTATATTGACGAATATGTGTTTTTGTTTATTATATGAAATTTGAAATTTTAATTTTAGCAAAACTGTTGAGCTAATAATTGGATATCAATTTGCAGCTTTGAATATTTCATTAATGGCATGACGGATAGGAAGTGTCCAAGACACTAAAGTTCAGTTTCCTGTTTACCACTTCATTTCAGGATAGAAGAATTTTTCAAGGTTTCCTTTAGCATCCTCATGATGCTTATAATGAAACAGGCAGGAGTAACTAGTGTCTGTTGATAGTAACTATCCCTCATCAATAACACCTCGTTTTCAGAAAACAAAAAAAAGTGTTATCATTTTTATTGTTACGTATGTATATTTTATGTTTTTATCGACTTATATTTATTTTAAGCGTAATTTAAATATATTTGAAATTTTTTATCGTTTTTTTGCGAAAGGAATGGAATTTCCAACAAATCTCGACATTGTTGTCTCAAATAATTCGCATTTTTGTCTATCTCTTGCAGTCACAGTCACAACAGTCTTTGCTTACTCTTCCTTTTGATCTTTCCTTGAGGCACTTTGTTTTACTGATGCTGTTGTTTCTTGGGTGAGTATTTCTCGCGTATATTCCAAACTATTTTTATTATTTATATCCTTGGAATTGTTTCCTTCTGTTATCTCCATATTTCCAAATCTGAAAAACAAAAAAAAAATCTTGGATTCATACAATATTAAGGATTAAATGGTTAGCAATAGTTTGAAATTACATAATTATTTCTGTGGTCCAAAATTCGAAAACTTTTTTTACTTTTCTAAACTCTGTTTGTTCAAGACTTCAGTTAGCCCATTGCGTTCCGTTGCTTTCACTATCGGGAATGATTTGACTTCTGCAATCATTCTCATTCTCTGTCGAAGTAGAAGTAACTGCCATATTGGTATTGGTCTTGTTGGTTGTATTCCTTGCAGTTGTTGTCGAGTAACTTGCGGACGTTCTTTTCGATTCTAAACTTTTTATCCATTTTAAATTGTAGCTCATTATATTTTGGATTAAATTATACCATATTTTTTTAACTGACGAAGTGTCAAGCGATACTGCAATGTTGAATATCTACCAGTCGGAAACTTACTGCATCTTCGATAAATTGGCTTTTCTAAAGTAGCTAGAAATCAGTTGACATGATTATCCGTGAATATTACTTGCTTGATGGTATTCACGTTTTTCAGGTACTGAATCATAGAATCAAAAGTGATTAAGTATTAGAAAGAATGTGAGTTTTCTGGTTTATTTTTGTTAAAACAACGAAGTTTTACCGCAATATCCCAAAATTAATTCATACTTTATAATGGGTGGTTAAGTTTAAACTTGATGCTACATGATTACTTTCCCACTCTTCATTATTTCCATCAATAATTGTTGTATTTAGAATTCCGTGTTGTGTATCACATACTGCTGTTGCATAGCATCGTGAAATCATCTATAGAAGAAAAGAGAACTGATGTATTATGAATAACATGAAAATATGTTTATTAAAATGTCAAAGATCAAAGTAATTTTTGAATTATCAAAAATTCAATTTCAGTAATCCATTTCATTGCATTTTTTAACCACTGTAAGTAATTTAAAGAAATTTGCAAACATTTACTTCACTGTAGCAATCTTTCAAGTTAATTTTATAAATTGGAAATAAATAAACTTGTGAATAAATTGAATTGCATCTTACTAAGTTTTGAATTTTTACAAACTTTAAAGATTTTTTTTCAAAATTTTCCAAAATAACCTGGCGTATGTAGCTTTTAGCTTTCTGTGGATCATTTTGATATTGCATGAGGAATAAATCAAATGCTGAATTATTTTCGCAATACACTGGATTGGCTATATCCTGACATCGAAATATCAATGCTTCACCTTAGAAATCATAATAATTAATAGCAAAGGGATATTTTAAAATCATTGAGTTAAAAATATTTCTTCACTATTAGTTATTGCCGCAATCATAATTACACTTTAATATCAACGGCAAATATAAATTAATTCACAATCATAAATGCATATTCTTATTATTTAATGTTTAATTTAGTTTGATTAATTTTTATAGCTATTCACGTATATCTTCTATTATCATATCAAAGATGGAATCGCAGTTCAATCTTAGTATTAAAATAATGTTGAACTGTATAATTCTGTTCATTTCATTTATTGTTTTATTCAATCATTTCATTTATTATTTCATTCAATCATTTCATTTATCGTATAAATCAAAAATGCGCAAAAATATTTTCTAACTGAAATGAATGGATCAGTAAATGAAATAATGGTACCTTGTTCGAAGCAATAATTGAAACACATTATGCCAAAACCGATTTCTTTGCAAGCATCTTTTTGAGTTTGATAAATTTTTGCACATGTTTTTTTGTACTAAAATGAAATTAGAAAACGAACAGGATTTTTCTATTAGCAAATTAAGAATAAAAGGATGAATGATTTGATAGAAATTATAATGATTAACCTTAAAATTAGAACCAATAGGTTGATAAGCACCAGAATAAGGTAAAATCCATGTTTTATCGATAAATGAAATAAGCTTATTTAATTTATGAACATCCAAAGTTTTAGCATCTATCAAATTTAAGCGTGAAAATGATTTGTTAACATCAATCATTCGTTGTTCACTGTTTTGAATGAATTGACCTATAAATTGATATCATATTTCAAGATTAGCAAAAAAGTAAAGTAGACAAATGTATTAAATTTTGTTAAAATAGATATAGATTAAGTAATACTTATTACTTAATAATAATAATGCGATACCTTCAGCTAATTGAAATATCCAAAGTAATGAGCAGAATAAGTTCATCAGTACTGATAATTTAAGTATCATCCTAAATTTCATCAATTATCAAAGGTAATTATCATATCCGAAGTTTTATCACTTTTTTTAGGTTACGACCTAAATTTGATTTATTAATTCCTTCTTTCTTTTTTTTCAGCAAAGTATTATGATTAATTAATTAATGAATGAATCGAAATATTTATTATTTAAAATGAAATGCTCAAAAAAATAAAGTTATTGATTAATTACAAATATCGAGATGTAAGATTTTAATTTCTTGCAATATTAGTATAAATTTACAAAAAGTTTTTGAATCAATCAATATGCTATGATTTATTATGATTTATTTCGTTATAGTGATTATATGAGATCGTTATAGTGATTATATGCATTTAAATAAGGATGAATTTGAAAAAGAACTTTTGATTTGTAAATAAAATGAAAATATGGAATTACCGATGGCAAGATTTATAAATTGATTCACATTATCATCTTATGGTGAAATTTTTGATTGAATTAAAAATTCATTTTGAATTAAACCAATTAAACAAAAAATAAATTAAGCAAAAACAATCATATACAATTAAAAGAAATTAGAATTTAAATAATTTATCTTAATTTATCTTAACTAAATTATCTTAATTAAATGAGCCAAAAAAAAAACATTTGAAAAAATTCAAAATAAAAACAAAACAAATTTTAACAAACATATAACAGCATTAAAGTTACACTTGACAGATGAAATTTTTGTTATTCGAAATAATTTAAATTTGGCAAAACCAAAATGATTTCCTTTTTAATTAAAAGCTCATTAAATAAAACAAAAGAGATAAGAAAACAATAATGCTTTGATAAAATATGAAAACTGTTAAATATATATTGCTATTCAAAACAATATTTGAATTTAAATAAATTTATAAAACTTAAAATTAAAACGAAAAGGAAGCTTTATTTAGCAAAAATAAATTGAAGCAAATGGAAATGCTAAAATATGAAAATAACATTTTTGGTTGTTTGATTTGTTTAATTTAAATACTATTTGAAGTGTATAGACAGTCATTTAGGTGATCACATTATTCCAATGTTTAACGAAGAATAGCTGTCACGAAGCGCAAACTTAAAAATGAAATAAAACTTGCAGTAAAAAAAATCAAAATTAAAATGACAATAATAGCTATAAAATAAAATCAATATTTTGCCTCAATATTATTTATTATATATTATAATGGAAAATAATATTATCAACCAATAATTACCTGTGATAGAACCAATAATTACCTATGATAGAACTTTTGATAAATTGAAATAAATTTCAAATAAAACTAATTGCTTGTCGTAAGTTAGTTTTGATTCAAAATTACCGTTATCTTTGTTTATTTATTAGCATTTCAATAGTTACATTAAACAGCAGAAGATTTTGGAAAGATGAAATTTAACATCGAAATTTGATTACAGTTAATTTTAAGATTATTTAAAGTTAATTTGTAATTTATAATTATAGGCCTATCATCAACATAATTATAGGCCTATCATCATTTCCTTACGCATTCTTGGTTTGCAATAACGGTTGTTGATTATAATATTATAAATATGTATATATGATTATAAATATGATGATTCATTATGCAAATTTTCTGATGCTTGTTTACTTATTATTTAATAGAAATTTGAAATATATTTTTTAAAATTCGTTTTAAATCAAAAGATGAAATTTTATGCTTATGAAACTATCATATTTACATATATATATTAAATTTAATTTATGAGAAAATACAGAATAACTTAAAACGATCATTTAATTTCAATGAAAAGAATAGATGAATGTAATTTTAAGATCAAATTATCAATTAATTTTTGCTATTTTAATTTTTAAATTGTTTTAATTTTAGTGTTTTAATTTTTTCTTAATTCTGTTTTAATTCAATTGCTTTAATTTTTCCTTAATTCTAATTAATTTATTCAGTTATTACAATATGCCATTGCTAACATATTTAACTAATATATATCCGACGAAAGATTTCTTACAACAGCAATTATATTTATTAATGAATTGTTTCATTTATAATTATTTGTAATGATTTCTCCGAAATTTATTAACTTTAAATTTTAGTATTAATTTATAATGAATATAAAATAGCTTAAGGTAATTTTTAAAATTGATAATTATTTGCATAATACGTATAATTTGAGAAATTTCAATAACGATTTTATATTTTATATTTTATATTTAGATTTTATATTATTTTAATAATTTCTTTTAGATATCTTTTCTTCCTGCCGCAATATCATCAATAGGAAATTATACTGAAACGCTTAAAGTATTCTTAACAATCATAATTTATATCATTGATAATAATTTATATTAATTACATTATATTTATACATTTGGAATCAATGACATATTACGTTTTTTTTTTTTAATTTACCGATTCTCAAAAGAGTATTTAATACAATGCCAATTGTTAGAAATTAATTAACGAACGAAATTTTCCATTTGACAATTATCAATTCATTCTTTTGCTTCACAAAATTTTCACCTTTAATCTTTACTTGAAGATAATTTTAATTGTATGAACGACGGCTCATACTATTAAAATTATGATATATCAATATGTTTTTTTGCTGTAATGAGCGTAGTTTTAAGTCTTTATCAGTTGTTAAAATAATCATTTGATTGAGCAATCAATTATTAGTTCCATGATAATTTCTCATTTAATTTATTAGTTCGATGATAATTTTCGTCGCTGAAATCATCGTTACAAATTTTATCAGTTATTTAACAATTGATAAAGTATTATTTCCCCCGGGAAATACTGTCCTAAAGTGTGCTGATAAGAAGAAATATTTCCTGTCTTAACAATACAATATGAAAAAAGAAAGAATGTTCAAGTAAACCCAAAATATTCCATAGGAAACTGTTCTACACATGCTGTTCCAAATTTCTCCGTCATATTCTGTTACATCAGATTTACTACCGGAAAAATATTTGAAATATAAAGATAACATGTCATGTACACGATATCATTGTCGGTTTCATTGTTTAAGTATATTTATGTAAGCTTATACTCTTTATGCTTTCATAGCTTATAAGCATAAAGAGCTTATATGCTTATAGCTCTTGTATGCTTATAGCTCTCCTTATATAAAACTTCCACGTTTCACGTTTCCGTAACAATACATGCATTATTCTGTTTACGCCAGATTGTGACGCTGCAAAATACTTCTTCTATCCTGAAATTGAAATCAATGTATGCATATGTCTATGATTGTATTTTTGTGGTGTGTGTATGCGTGTCTGTCTGCGATCTGTATACATATACATGTGTGTATGTGTGTGTGTGTGTGTGTGTGTGTGTGTGTTGTGTGCGTTTGTGGTTTGTGATATTTTTCAGTTAGGAAATCAAGTGATACAATGATGAGAAATCAAACCATTAAAAACGACATCCTGATGAAAGAATTCGAGACATCCTGATATAGATGTTAGAGATATTTTGACAGCGGGTTAAGAAAAGGAAATACGCAATGGAGAATTCGAAGCATACTGATATAGATATTAGAGAGATATATTGACAGCGGGTGAAGAAAAGGAAATATGCAATGAAGAGAGCTCTAGACATTCCTTTTTTTAGTTCTAATTCCATAATCATTTTTTTTCATAGTTTTAATTTCATAATCATCATTCTTCATTTCTTTTGAGTATTAATATTTAAGTGAAATTTATCTAGCTTAAATCTTTTTTTCTTCTCGAATGAATGTAGACAACTATATCCAGTAATTGAAGTATACAACTTCCATTGTCATTATCTAGTCATTGTCTACGTAAGGGAATTATTTGTTAGTAAAATTTACGTTTTTTTTGGGTTGCTTGTCATAACGTATGATAAATCTATAATGGATACTAATACCAAAATAAAGATGCCAAATATGCCCAAAATAAAGAGGTGTCTCTGTGCGGCAAATATCGAAATTGGTATCTGATATTCTGAATTTGTTGAAATGAATGAATTATTTGCAGAGAATTGTATTGATCATCGATGGTATTCATGATATCGCGAATTTGCCCACTAACACGATGTTCGTACAGTTCGACAGCTACAACAATCGGTTCCTTCTACGATATCATTATAATTGGTGGTGGAATGGTTGGTAATGCAATGGCTTGCTCCCTTGGTTAGTTGTTACTCGATTATGGTGTAACTTGGTGAACATTGCTAGTTATTTTGTTTATTTTCTATGTTAATGCAATGTAACTCATTAATTTTTCAAAACTTAGAGAAAAGTTTGGGCATGAAGGTCATGAACCATTTTGTTTTGCAAATACAATTATTAAAATATAAATATTTATGGGGCAGTAGAAGGCGTAATTGAGAAAATATTTTTTTGCTCATAAATTGGAAGCCTGTTATTTTGTTCCAGGACTGAACGAACGTTTCAAGTCGAAAAAGATACTTGTACTGGATTCTGCAGAAATCAAATCACCGACAAAAAATTCACCATATGGAAATCGAGTTACTGCGGTATCACCTGCGTCTATATTACTTTTTCAAAGTATGATACTCATGTACTTTTTTGAATATTCCTTTATATTCCTAGATTGAAGTTCCTTTTCATATACTAATAAATTTGCAGAATTGGGAATTTGGAATGATCTTGTGAATCTGAGAGTGAAACGAGTCGATATGCTTCAGGTTTATATTGAATGTACCAGTTTCTTTGTAAGAATCAACGGATTGATTTAAGCTTCGCGAGCGGCCTGTAGTTGATACTTGGTTATAATAAAGTAGAATTTAAAAATAATTTTTTAAACTTCGTAATGGAAAATCTAATTACTTCATTCGGAATTCATTTTAAAATAAAGTTCATTTGTGAATTACAAAAGAATTACAGCATGATATATATAGGTTATGGATAGTTGTTCGCACTCATCGATAAAATTTGCCCAACCAGATGCAACTAACGAAGTCGCATATATGATCGAAAACAATGCAATCATCGGATTTCTTGCAAATCGTATCAAAGCAAGTTGTCCGAATATCACAGTTAAGAGGAAAGCAAAAGTAGTTGATTGTAGGTATGATGATTGAGGAAAAACTTTTTTCTTGAAGACACACAGTTTTTGAATATCTTGAAAAGCGCATCATACCAATATTACGAATTGTATTTTCATAATGGAAGGCTATTTTCAGCAGTCCGTCTGGTTTGGATGAATTTGCTACAGTCGTATTGGATGATGGAACCAAACTCCAAACGTCTCTTGTTGTTAGTATTTGCGAAATTCTTAGAAAATTTGAAATAGCATTTAGTTACTAATTGAATTTAAAAAAATGAGGATGCATTGGTTGCTCTAATTGTTGCTTTTTCATTATCACAAATGTATGAATAATAAAAGCATATTGGGTAAGCATAGAATTTAGGCCGCTAAATTACGAAGCACAGCTATGTGTTTGAAAAATATGAAAATTTTGTAGATTGGTGCCGATGGTGCTAGAAGTACGGTGAGAGATATGCTCAAATTTAGATATACCTCATGGGGATATGGGCAATCAGCAGTAGTTGCAAATCTTCGGGTGCAAGCTGTAAGTTTTTGTCTTTTTGATTATATTAAGAAATTGGAAACTACTGTATTTCTTCAAAAATGAAGCTTATATTTCATCCTACCTTTGTCTTTACTTTTCCCCATCCACATTGTTTCAATCATATTAGACATAGATTAACTCTTCATGTTTAGATGTAGTTTTGTATAATTAATCAATTATCACAATTTAGCTTCATGTCTATTTGTCCTATCCCGTAGTCCCACTTACTATTACAAAATTTATTTCACAAAATAGATCAGCAGCTTTCGTTGATTTATCTGACAAGTTAGGTCCTGATTTCATTCATTTGGAAATTTCATATCATTTTTTATTATTTTTAAATTGAATCATGAAATGATATGAATATGATATGGTATGGTGTGATGCGCATAGCACTTCGTAGTCATAATTCTTCCCCAAAAAAATCGATCGTCAACTTTGTCATAAATTATAGCATGTATAATATTTAATATCTAACTGTATATTATTTAATAATCAATAAGAAAAAATGTAAATGACGATTGTTTCCGATGGGAAATAACTGTGTTGCATGGGAAAGATTCACGCCAAGTGGTCCTGTAGCTCTTCTACCACTTACTGAGAATATGAGTTCAGTGACATGGTCGACAAGTACAGAGCATGCCAAAGAATTGCTTTCATTACCACCAGAAGAATTTGTTGACGAGCTCAATGAATTTCTGGTGAATTTTTGTATTTGAACTCTTGAAATTTTTATCTTGATATTTTCTGTCGATTCTCGTGTTTTAATACTGATTTAAGTAATCTATTACTTATTACAATGTTGTCAGCTAAAATGAAAAAAAAGCATAATTTGTGTTAATGCTGTATTTATCTTTAATAATAAGTTGTGCGGGAATGTTCTGTGATTTTGACGAAATTTAAGACATTCCTTTCATGAAGAATCATTTCTTACATAAATTGGAAACATGTGACATATGGCTTGAAATTACTAAGCTTCAGTGGATCTGATAATTAACGGAAGTTTGTTCTGAAAAGTTTTTCACTTCCTCTATGTTTTTTAAACAACGAAAATTTCAGACCACTGATATTCATCAGAATTCCATAACAAATCAGTTTTTATCACTAACAGAACAGCTATTGAAAAGAGTGTTTTCCGTAAGCGAGAAGCCAGAACTTGCATTTCCAACGGTCATATCCTTATATGAAGGTACTCGTGCTGGATTTCCGTTGGCTTTTGGACATAGCTATAGTTATGTTAAACCAAGAGCCGCGCTGATTGGGTTAGCTTTTCTTTGAGTGTTTAGAATATTTGGGTATTAAATATGGCTGGTCTATAAAATAATCAAAATCTTTTCATGTGTTAAAATATATGAATTGAATTTGATGAATAAGGCATCAAAAAATTTAGGTTTTTAGAGATGCCGCTCATCGTACTCATCCATTGGCTGGACAAGGAGTTAATCTAGGATGGAGTGATGTGAAAATATTGCTATGTTGCCTGGAGCAATGTGTAATCGATGGCGGTGATTTAGGTAAGTCAATCAATTTCTCAGATTGTTTAGTTTTTTATCCAGGAAGAATTATAATTTCGACAAATATTTCAGGTTCGCTTACGTATTTATCTGATTATGATACACAAGCACAGCGACGGAATGTACCTGTGCAGGTGGTATGCGATTGGTTGAATAGACTTTACTCGACGCATAATACGCCACTGATTCTTATACGTTCCTTTGGTCTTAACATGGTCGACAGATTCACACCTTTGAAAGTATGTTTTTCTTTCTGTAATTATTTTGGTAGTTTGTTATTAACATCAAAGCAATTATTTTTCTCGGATGTATTAAAATTTTCAAATGTTAGTGAAAGTTGGGTTTCTGCTAGTCTTTATGTGCCTTTTATCTTCATCTTCTGCAAATCCGAGATTCGGTCAAGGAGTATGGATAGAGTCGTAAAATAGAATATCTTTAGATTGCTGTCACTTCGATGCTCTTAGGTGTTCCTCATTACTTGAACTCCTTCAGCAAAACATCTTCTGGAATGTTTCATTTTTGCAGCTTTTTTCTGTTGAAGTTGTAAAATAAAGATTGCTTCATTCATAATGATTTGTTATTTGCCGTCCATTACATAACAATATATTTTGTTTTTCTTATTTTTGCCATAAAATTACAGGACCTTATCGTTTACCGGACGTCAACGTAAACAATGCACTGAACGTGGAAACAAATGTCGACAACATCACGCAATTAGCAATAACAACAGAAGCGATAGCGAAGTAATAAATAATCAAGCGATATTCATCGATATTATGTAGCTGGCGTGATAATTTTTCATAGGGTTATTTGAGATGAATTTTCATTATGAACCAGTAAACAATTCAGATTTTAGAAAAATGGACAACTTTTGAAAATATATGTTTTTAACAGGCGTCAGATGAACTGTTCGGTTAATAGTTTAATGATATAGTTATCATCTTTTCATCCATTATTGTGGAAGTACTTAAGATATTAGAAGTTAGTGGTTTATAATACCACTATTTTATTAAAAACTTTGTTATAAAAATATTTTATTATAAACTATTTTATTATTTTATTATAAAAATATTTTATTATAAACTGATACCGGTACTGACTAAAGAAGAATATGATACAGTATGTGCTCCTAAAAGGTGGGAATCGAAGTAATCTTATAAGCTAATAGAGCAATTGACAATTTTGAAAATGAAACTCTAACAATCGAAATTTAATTTAGAATCATGGAAACTGTGAAGAAAATTAATTGAGAATGAAAAAGGAAAGAACATAGAATTTATAGGAAAGTTGTTTGTGCTGGTTGTCATTTTTTAATGTTATTTGTTCACTTGTTATATTATCAATTGCTTATTGTTGCTCATCAATTAATGGTTATAAAACAGTGATTGAGAACAATTTAATTTAGTAACAGAAAAAAGAGAAATAGTCCTTTATAAATGATTGAAAACTATTACAAAGACATTTACTGTCCTAATATCAGAATGTTAGTATTACAGATAATCCAAATAACGAGTAGCGTCTCGTATTACAACTAAAACAAAGCATTTCTTTGTAACCTCTGCAAATATTCTGAAGCCTAAGCTTCTTCCACTTTTATTTATTTCAAAAAATCAGATAAATACGAATTCATTGTTATTTGTTGCTAAATCATTATCATGGATTGAATTAATCAAAATTTAGCCTGGAAGATAAATTATTTCCTTACAAGTAACGGGAAGGAAAGTATATTTATACATAAATTTTACGAGAGATTTTTTTACTACCAACTTCTTAAAATGTTAAAACTTATGGTTAATCACATTTGATAATTTAAAGTGAAATTCAAATAAAATTCCTCCATATTTATTATATCAGAATCCGAACAGATCAATATAACAATATCCTTTCTATTTTCTCTTTTACTTCAAACTTTTTTCTCCAAATTTTTCCTTTTTTTTTGAAATGGATGGATATTATTTATTCCAGAATATTCTTCTCTCTACTTTGCTCATCAAAGAGGCGCTTAAAATAGTAATTCATTTCATGGATCATTATTACTAGTATGAACTTGTCGTAGCAACATATAGTTATGGCCGAAAGTGAAGCAGAAAGGATGGAAAAATCTGGAGAATCATCACAAATTCAGCAAGATGTCGAATCTGGCGAATCATCACAAATTCAGCAAGATGTCGAATCTGGCGAATCATCACAAATTCAACAAGATATCGAATCTGAAGAATCATCACAAATTCAACGAGTCGTCGAATCTGAAGAATCATCACAAATTCAACAAGATGTCGTCGAATCTGAAGAATCATCACAAATTCAGCTAGATGTCATCGAATCTGGAGAATCATCACAAATTCAACAAGCTGACGACGAATCTGAAGAATCACCAGAAGTTGTCGAAGAAGCTCCTTGGCCAGCAAATAAGGAAGGGTATAGGTTGGACGAAATAATTGGAAGTGGTGCAACATCTACCATTTATAGGGTTATATTATATAATTTATTAATTTATGATTTATAATTTTTTCATTTCTTTTTCACTTTTATTTTATTAGTAATAATATATATCATTATTAAATAAGTGAAATAATGAAAGTACGATTTCTTTTTTCTGAAAGATTTAAATTTTTGTGATAAATAATGAATTGATGAAATAACATTAAATATTAATTAATATTACGCAAAAAGAATTAAATAAATAAAATTGAAGAATCAAACTTGCCTGATATTTCAAATAATTCGGATAGGGAGGGAAAAAGAAGTTTCAATTATAAAATGATGATAGGATTATTCGAGATAATATCCGGTTATTCATTTCGTTATAAAATCCCATTGTCGATATAATCGAATAATATTTGGTCATTTATTACGGTATAATATTTGACTATCCGCTATGATAAGATATCCAACTATTTCGGTATAATATCCGGTTATTCATTTCGCCATAATATCCGATAAATATATTATCATTTGATAACAATCATTTCTTTGTTTTCTTCTTCCTAAGCTTTGAATAGTGCGGTATATTGCTGATAAAAATTCACACAAATGCTTATAAGATTTTCCCTTATAAATTATAAGCTATCAGTTGATTTGATGTGAAAATATGGAACAATGGAGTTCGAAACCTTCTTTGGTACCAATTTTGGTACCATCAATTTTTTAAAATTTTCTTTTATGGAAAAATTTTTTTTTAAACAAAGAAGAAGCCATTTTCAGGCTTTTTGCATGGAACGAGGAACGATATGTGCGATCAAACGTGTTGATATTGAAAAACATAATTTAACGCAATTGGGAAATGAAATTAAAGTATCCTATTTTTTTTAAAAAAAATTTACATCAAGCCGACAACAATGTTACTTATTTCAAAATTCTCTAAAATCCTAAAATTCAAAAATTTAAGGAAAGAATAAAGAAATTCTTGTGTAAACATATAATTTATTATGCAAACAATTATTTGAGATATCCAATTTTGCACGCATATTTAATTTAAATTAATTTAGAATTTAATGGCATGTAGACATGCTAATATTGTCAGTTATTATACATCATTTCAATTGGGGAAAACTATGTGGATAGTAATGCGATTGCTTGATTGTGGAAGTTTACGTCTAATTATTGATCGTCAAATTAAAGTAAATATCATAATAGTTCATCAAACTAAAATTCAATTATCGTTCAAAGATTAAATTAACATATAAATTAATTTATTGAAAGAATATCTAAATAATATAATGTGAAATTAAAAATTTCATATGTACATAATCTTATATATTAGTCAAAATAAATCTTACGTTAAAATTTTAACTTAATTAAATTTAATTTTAAGTATGAATTTAGCATTTAAATAATTTTCAGCATATCAATATATTATTTACTAATAATAATAACATTAAAAATGTCCATGCATTATTTTATATTAATAATTAAATATAATTTAAGTATGATTTTATTTTGTTAAATATATAATATATTCATTATTGCACAATGTTAATTTCTTTCCTTTTGTTTTTTATATATTGGTATGCTGAAGATTATTCATTTAAATATCAAATAATTAATTGATCAGTTTGTTAATTAATAATAATGTGTTAAATTCATTAATATAATTAATTCTCAACTTATTAATTCAATGATGATACTATAAAATAAAACAAGAAATTTTTAAAATTCATGGATATGTTATTATTGAAAATTTGAGAATTAGAATTAATTATTGATTTAATCATAAACAAAATAAAAATTTCGAGAAATTAATTATTAATAGTTTTCTTGTCATTTAATCCATATTTTAGGCGATGGGTGGCCGTTATGAGCTTAACAAAGGTGTACTATCTCAACCTGTAATTGCTACAGTACTAAAAGAAGTTTTACTTGCATTAGATTATATTCATCGTAGTCAACTTGTTCATGGCGACATTAAGGTATTCATTTCATATTAACTTTTCTTAATATTAATTATTAGTTAATTAATCCTATACTTCATATTACCCGAAATAAAATACAGTTATATTGTGATATATGATATGGCTATCATTGAACTGATAATCAGATTGAATAAAATCAGTTCATAGTAACAGTATCATGGATTAGTGTTAATTAATTAATCCTATTCTTCATATTAACTGAAATAAAATACAGTTATATTGTGTTATATGATATGGCGGCTATTATTGAACCGATAATCGGATTGAATGAAATCAGTTCATAGTAACAGTATCATGGATTAGTGTTAATTAATTAATCTTATTCTTCATATTAACTGAAATAAAATACAGTTATATTGTGTTATATGATATGGCGGCTATCATTGAACCGATAATCGGATTGAATGAAATCAGTTCATAGTAACAGTATTATGGAATCCCTGAAAAACACCACTCCATCTATATATATAGCTACTGATTTCTTTCTTTCAAACTCATAGAAGAATAATGAGTGATTTCAGTAGATATTTTAATCATTTGAAATATTGAAAAGGCAAAATTATCCAATTAATTTTTTCTTTAAAACTAAAATTTTAGGCTGCAAATATATTACTATCATCAGAAGGAGATGTTCAACTTGCCGATTTTGGTCCTTCGATTTGGTTAGAATCTGAAGAGGTATTATGTGTATGCATAATTATACATTTATATATATATATATATATATATATACTTCTAAAAACTTCATTATTATAAATTTCAGAAAAATTACTTTTTGATAATTTCTAAAGAAACGAAATTAAGAAATAGCCAATTATAGTTATATATTGTGTATTTAAATTTATTAATTTTTTTGTTTACTAATTTAATTAAAAGACAATTTATATTTAAATATCATTTACAACTACAACTTATCCATTCTTTGTATAGTAAATTTTCAATTTTATTATTATTGTTAATATTAATTATTTCTTTTAGAGAACAAGGAAAAGTATGCCAGGAACATTATGTTATTTGGCACCTGAATTAGCTATTTCAGAAATGGATTATTCAAAGAAGCCATTCGTTCATACATTTACTCTTGATATATGGAGTTTAGGCATAACAGCAATGGAAATGGCCACCGGATATCCACCATATCATAACAAAATTGCTACATTGGTTTGCTTTATCTGGAATTAAAATTTTAATTTCAAAAAGGAAAATTAGTTTACATGAATAATGTAAATCCATTTCTCATAACTAATAAAAAAAAATTACGATTTAAAAATGACGATGATAATATGCTAACATAATTTAGCGCATATTTATTTAGGCTAAATATTGTTAAGGCATGATATTATGAAATTTTTTTCTATGAGGTGAAAAATTTTGAATCTAAAATTTTAATTCTGGATAATAAGCATTGTACGATTATTGGTAATGAAAATGAAAGATAGGGGAAAAGAAATCAACAAAAAGGCGAAGGAATAGAATCGAAATTATTAAATGATAAAACTGAGAGAATGAGAGAGAGAGAGAGAGAGAGAGGGAAGAAGGAAGACAGGAATCCCTGTATTACAATTTAGGCGATATTTTAGGCGATAATTTAGGCATACTAAAATTGATATTTCATACCAAAATTCAAGAGAGAGAGAGGGAAGAAGGAAGACAGAAATTCCAGTTATTACAAATTAGACGATATTTCATACCGAAATTCAAGAGAGAGAAGAGAGAGAGAGAGAGAGAGGGAAGAAGGAAGATGGAAATTATAGTTATTACAAATTAGGCGATATTTCATACTAATATTTCATATTAAAATTCATTATTATATTTAATAGATACAGTAAATCAAAAAATAAGGAACTTATTAACTTAAATTATACATATATATACTTAAATTATATGTACTTGAATTATATATATATAAATTATATATTAACTAAAATTACATATACAACTTAAATTATATTAGATTATATATACAATTGTATATGAAAGAAAGAAAGAATAGAGAAATTAATGGGAAAAAAATTTTTTAGACATTAAAATTGATACGAGAAAGTGATCCACCAAGCTTAGAGATGTATGAATTATGTGATTATCGTGAATACGGAAGACAATATCGTCATTTTCTTTCATTATGTTTAAAGGTATTATTATGTAATGTATTTCGAGAAAAATAACGTAAATTTTACACTGTTCTATTTCTAATGTTGTTTACAGTTTACTAATAAAATTAGTTCGGTAAATTATAATATTCACTAATATATTTCGTTCTGATAAGAAATGCGATTAATTGATTGTTAATTAATTAATGAAATCAATCAATCATATTAAATTTTGATAAATTTGATTACAGAAAAATGCAAAGCAACGATGGTCAGCAAGAAAACTTCTCACTCATCCATTTATTGCTGGTAAAGCTAAAAGTGCTGAATTTCTTGCTGATACATTACTACGTATTATACAATCTGCTGAACCATCAACTAGTGCTGAACAAAATTCAACCAGACAACTTCCACCAATTATTGATATTGATGATGTTAGTAACATTTTTCCCTTTTCTTTTCTGTACAATACAATACAGTAAAAAACAAAACAAAAATTTTTAAAAATGACAAATAAAATAGTAAAGATAATTAATTTAACCATAAACAATATTTATAGTATATTGTAAACCATAAACAACATTTATAGTATATTTCAATATACTTATTATGAATGCAAATTCATAATGATTGCTTGACTTCTTTTAAAAGTGTGTACTCAAAAACTTTGTGAGAATTCAAGAACAAACTGAAATAGTTCCTACATTAACATATGTAAACAATTTCATGCTGTCAACAAAGCTTCTCTCTCTCTTTCTTGATCACTGAACAAATGATTGAAAGCATTAGAGATAATTGATCATTAAGATTTCAAGCATCAAATTTAATATATTAAAATGTGTCAAAAAAAAAAATTTTGTTTAATCCGATAATGAAAATATTCAAATGAAAATTTTCGTTGAAATATTTCATCTATTTATCATCTTATACATCCGCATCATTTATATCTTTTATTCGGACGATTTTTATCTTTTTCGATTTCTTCAAAAAGTGAATTTAACATTTTTATGATTATTAAAACATTATACAAATCTCACAGATTTCTTTAGAATGTGGAAATCGAGCAACCCAATGTCGATTGGGATTTTGATGTTGAAGAAGAACGTCCGGTCAATCGTATAAACAAAACGCATATTCAAATACCACCAACAATTCCGCCAAGTGCAGAAATATCGATGGTATCCGTCATTCTCACAATAAATCATAATAATGACACCCATAATTATAAACTTATAATATCTTTACAATACATTCGAAATTATCGTATAATCTATAAAAGAAAGAAGGTTGATAATACCAAGTTTCCATCGACTTCAATACTTCCTCCTGCGTTGCCTTTAATTCCCTTACACTCAAAAATAATTAATTTGAAGAGGGAAATTCTTAACAGTTTTTTATTTCTTCATCATGCCAACAGTTTCTATATTATCCGCACAGAGGGAAAGTCACGCCAAATAACTCATCGAATAATTATTACCCTCATCCAATTGGAATTGGAAGACTTATAACACCGCCTAGCCAATTCAATCAGCCCGCCAATTGACACATTCAACTGATTATTATCAAGAAAATTTTATTTTCAACACATGAATTTACAATTAGTAGTGAGAACGCATATCTTATTCTTTCAGTATGTAAACATCATTGAATGCATAGAAAACCAAGCTAGATCTGAAAGGCTTTTAATGGCGGAAGAATTATTTCACAGTTGTAAATATTCAATCGAAGATCAAGTATTCCAACTCGTTGAAAAGCGAAAATTGGAAGCCAGACTTATGGTAACTGTTGTGGCAAACTTAAGCAAAGTTGTTACCGCTGCACAACATCAGGATATCGAAGGCAAATATTTCGCGTTTATTATTGAAAAACGCAAAGCACTCGTAACTGTTCTAGAAATTTCCATCAATATTTGGCGTTATATTACAGACCATAGAGTACCGCACTAGAAAATGAAGCCTATTAGTAATTACGGGTTGAAGGTGTTACTAACACGGCCTACGAAACATATAGCACCTAGTTTAGAGCTATACCGCTTTAGTCCTTTTCAATCTATATGTTAACTTCAATTTCTGTTTTGTACGTCTAAATATTATCTTCCATATTTCAAAGTTACAGAATTGGTACTGCTGTGCCAAGCTACTTTCTCATTGTGTTTTTGATCCACAATATTTACATAGGTTCAAATCCCACGAGTTACATAGCACTTTTAATTATTTATCAAAACAAAAGGCTTAAACAAACGAACGCTTCCACTGAATGAATCTATCCTGTGACAACGAATCAGCTAGTTAGAAATTTTGAAATTACCACTGGAATACCGGAAATGTATGCCTCAGTTAAACTGTTGTTGTCGTCCTTGTCCCCGGTGCTTCAGTTTTTCAAAACCTATTAAAACAATTGTTGTATGCACTGGTTGTTTGCTTTTTAGAACCAATTTATACTTCAATAAATGCATTGCTTTCAAGTTGATTGTGAACAAGTCCTCATCGTCGAATGCCCGAGAACGATACCTATCGGTGTCCACACAAACAACCTTTCATAGTTCCTACTCATGAAGGACGCTGAGTAATTGCCTCCAGCGGTCCTCTACCGATTCACTTGTTACATTCAGGACATGGATCTACAAAATATTTCCACAAACTCCTAACATTATTAGAAATATCACCATTGGAGTATTTGCGAAAAGTCCGAACGAAAAACCATCTTTTCGCATTCACGTATTCATGTCTTTAAGCCACTAGAAATTCAAGAAAACCAAAGCGGAATTGACAAGAGATCACTAGGCGTTTAAAATCCCAACCCTCCACAAATTTGCATAATTCTGATTTTCTTCAAAAGCTTGCCAGCATCCCCGGCCTCATTTGATATAATCCACAGGTGATACTTCTCATTATATTCCTCAGTTTACTTGGAAAACTAAATATCATTCGTGCACTCGGGGTATGCTTCGCAAGCCTCTACACTAAATAGAACATACTTAACCTTACCAAGGACGCGAACCTCCCGTAATTTTCATAGACTCTTAAAAAAATTTTCAGGACTACTAAATGAAACATACTACTACAATTATACACGTCGTATCGCAACAGCACTGTCACCGTCAGCACATATTGCAACCGAAGACTTCTTCGCAGGATTCTCCAGAGAACTTTCAAACTGAAAAATGGCAAAAAAGCAAATTTCTCCTGATCCGAAATATAGTGAAAAATATTTGGAATCTAGTCTCACTGTTTCTCTTCTATACAACTAGACCGACCCCACATAACCATCACTGGCTTCCCCTGACATTGAAGCCGGCTTCTGTACCACTGGCGTTACATCGTTTCTTCCAACAGCCTAAATGTCTTCAGCACATTTAACATGTAACCTTCTATTATGTAAAATTTTATGTAAGCGAAAAACAGTCATCAGTACAATACAATGAACACCAAATTTAAAAAGGCAATAAGGTCTTGGCAATAGGAGCCAACTTTAAAATTCTCCTGACCAATCTCAAACTCAATCTGCTCCGCAATTCCGGAAATCGGCACATCTTGCATCTTTTAAATTACGACAATGAATCCTAAAAATAAAACAACAAATTGAGCAAAATATATACACACTCTGAGATCACTGAGGCTTGCATCTTTAAAACCTTTTTCCAATTCCACAATGTTGAACGAATATCTTTCGAGAAACTCCATTAATTCCAACACCGAACTTCTATGAGCTTATGAATATCCAACCACAATGGCTGTTTCACATGTAACACTTCTCGTTTCTTGATCACTACCTTCGTATCCTGAAAAAGGAATTCATATACACAAAATATGATTTCAAAAAATTAAAATTGGCAGAAAGCGAATTTCCACGAATTCAATGTCCCATCTAAAAAGCTCCGAAATATGTTCAAAGGTAAAGCATTACTTGAGAGGAAAACAAGAGCTTTGGAGAAACTCTGATGCAAAATCAATTTACTGTTAACAGAAGATACAGTATCCTGGAACGGAATGCTGGGCCTGGGTCACTTCGATCGCGTTTAGCATCACACATCGAAAGGTGTGGTTTTTTTTATTTTTGAACGCAAAACAATTGGAAACTGAAACAATATCACAAACCAAAGAAACCCTAATACTATTTTACATAGCTCATCTAACATGTGCCAACATCCAGCACAGAAATTTCCCCGAGTTTCGAGATTTCACAATTCCGAAAAAACTGTGACGTACAAGACTTCAGAATTTTGAGGTGTCAACAAAGCAATATATCCAAAAACCAAAGAGATCCAAAACGACACCAACCTGATGCAACCATCGTTTTGCCATATAATTCATCGAACAACGCATCTAAGCCAAAAGGATCTGCATCTGACTGCGTATAGCGCGATTTCTTGAAACAAACCGGCGGCGGTGGTGGTGGTGGTTCAATCAGTATATTATCAGCCTCCATAACATTCGGCAAAGGCAACTGAACACAGTTATCTTGTTGCAATAAACTGTACAAATTGTCGTTATAACCATCAAATTGGCTTGTTTCACTGTTTTCACCTCCACCTCCTTTTTTTGACTCACTAGCAGACAAATCCAAACACCCTGAGAAATCATCCATGATGATCCCCGGGTGGGATTTAACTCGAAAATCAGAATCCGACCCGCAGGACGACGACGAGTACTCACGTTTCCGATTCTCCCGACTGCTCCTTCTACGATGACGCTTGGCAGCACGTCGTTGTTGATGCCGTTTGGCACGACGTTCACCAAGATATTTGCATAATGATTGAATGAAACTTGTATGCAGCAATTCTCGTCTTAAATCACGTTCCTTACTGTTGTAAATAATTCGGCGTCGTTGGATTGCCATTGTTAACAACGAACGAGGTGAAAAATCACTGTCATACTCATCACCATCATACTCGGATGATGAGCATGATGACGACGACGATGATGATGATGACGATGATGATAATGATGATGTATAGTGACAATAACTCTCTGGTATTTCATCCAAAAGTACCATTTTGTCACGGGCAACTGAAACATGCGTACCTCGCATCATTCTTCAAAACTCTTTTGCGTATGCCAGAATTATACAAATTCCGTATGCACGAATTTAAAAATCCACATATAAAACCGACGTAATTAATCTCGCGCGACAATATTCGTCAAATTGTCTTCGTATTCAAAGTTTACGTAAAAATTGAAATATCACACGTAATGCGTCACCACCACACCAATAACAACTTCTCAACCTTAATCACCGCAACCAACCAACCAACAACCACCTTAGCAACACAATCAACTGGCAATAACTCACGCAACACCAAACTCATAGCAAAGCAACCGCGACGCTTCATTGTGCCGCGCGTCCGCGTATCAGCGCTTGAGAAATAGCGCCACATCGATTGATTAAATTTTTTGAAATTTCTAAGACAGTATAAGCTATTTGGTTATCATTAGCAAGTTCAAGGAAGCTCAGTTAATAAACTTTGGATATTTTATGTGACCTTCCTGCAATGATAGTTATTGATTTGTATGATTGCTACTCTTGGCGAAGATCCAAAGGCACACTATAGATAACCATATGGTCGGGGGTGGGATTTTGGTTTTCGTAGTTGGATTTGGGCGGTTGGATTTGGATTTCGCGGTTAAATTAAGACAGTTAGAATTCTCGAAATTTAGATTTTACAATTAAATTTAAACAGTCTGAAGTTGAAGTTCGATAATTGAATTCTGATTCAAATTTAATATTAAAGGGATTGAGTAACTATGTTTCAAATTCAATTAACTTTGTTGGAAATCCGGAGATAATTGAACATTGTGTGCTCTCTCATACGTTAACTCAAAAAACTTCCGTGATAAGCAGTGTACCTCAGTTTTGCAAGCTCATGGAAACTTCATTAATAAACTTTGACAAATTTATGGAAGCTTAGTTGACAAATTTTGGCAAGTTTACGAAAGCTTAGTTAACTTTAAGTATCTCATGCGATTTCCCCCCTTAGTTTTGCAGTTATGGAATGTAGATATGATCTAATGTTATGCATATAATGTTAAATTTCAGCCTACAAAAAAGACAATAACTTTTACTATAACAAGAGTGAATAATTAAAGCTAATTTAGTTCTCTCTAATTCTTCGATTTATCCACTTCTCCACTTATTTAAATTCATCTTTTACACTTTCTCCTAATTTTAACAAAACTAAACTTAGAGATGAAAAAAATCGTACATATCGATATTTTTCCTGTTTTTATCATGTGTATAAAGGAACAAAGAGCATTAAATGTCACTGATGATTTAATGAAAACGATAGGGTAGCGGGGGAAAATCTTTTCGGACGAAAGATAAATGAATCATTGTGGAGCATATACGACAAACTGAGCAAATATGTAGAATTTCTATACCTTTAAATGATGTCACCTTAGTTAAATCATAAATCATATGCATCATCACATGATGTCGCTGATGATAGAGAAAAAATGTAGAAAATGGGGCACGTAGCACTACTAATTTCTTAAAATAATATTAATTTTCTTGTAAAACATGAAGGATTTTCCCATTTTTAATGCTCATTCACTTTCATTATATCCCATCATATGGTTGGAAATCCTGCCTTAATTTATGCTATTTTTCATCGGAAGTTTCGGATCTTGATTTCCGTTATGGAATAAAAAAATGAGGAATAAACTAAACTTGTGACATCATTCTGAAAGGCAATAACGAAGTAGAAACAAAAAAAAAGCCAAATATCATGACAACTTGATAAATTGAAGTCAATGAAATAACATTCACTAGATTTTACTTACAGATAACAATGATCGCAAGCAAATATCGTCCATAATTTTAAAATAGATTAAAGACCTGCTGATATTTAGTGAAACATTGTTAGGATATCAGTAATATAAAAACTGAAGCAGCAGATAAATTAACTGATAAATTCCATAATCTGAAGGAATTTGCGACAGATATCTTGTAAGATAAGATAAAAGAAAAAGCACAATTTTCAAGTAGGCAGTAACTTGATTACTAATCAATCTTAGCAACATCTCTTGAAATAATGTGCGAACAAAGAGTACATGGTTCCTGCTTATGTTAAAATTATGCTTATGTTAAAATTATGTAAATCTTAAATCCTAACGAAAAAAGGAAACTATAATACGGATTCCATGATAACAGCGGCAAATATCTCCAATTGTTTTAAGATTAAGATATACCACAGCAGATAATATGTATCTGTCTGCGGACTAAGAAATAAACTGATAAAAAAAGTTAACTCAAAATAAGAGTCCCTGGAAAATGAATCAATAAGGAAATTTCACACTCGCTTCAACTACATCGAAGAAACACTGTAGATCACTACCAAATCGTTGGATTTCTGAGTGAAAAAATAGCTGAAACAACAACAAAAATCGCTTTTAGCAACATGAGAATATCTTTAAAACTTTTCCCGATGCCAGTTTCAAGAGGATTCTACAATTATATAAATTGGTGTTTCGAAGTTGGAAAAGAAGCATTCCCGAATCATTTCGTATTTTTGTTCTTTTTTCAATCATTTTCCAATTACGTATTCCAATACAATCCAGTTGAAACTGACGACATTAAAAAATGACAATTAAGAACCTAATTTTAATTACTACTAGAAAAGCAATTCATTTGATTTTCAAAACTTGGAATTATATAATATCTAATTGAGGAACGAAACAGAAAAATAAAGAAGGGAATCACAAAGACAAATCCAAATCTCTTCTACAATTAATTGTCGAACCAGATTTGTCACGAATCAAGAAATAATGGAATAATTCAATCAACTTGAGCGTTACTCGAATCGATCAATGATATCTGTGCGAAACCTATTAAAGCACGTTCATCCGGCATTTCCTGTGGTGGTACCGAACTTAGAGCAAAAGTTACTGATTTTTTGTCACTTTTCGATAATGCTGCATCCACAAGTTTTTTTAAGTTTGCTGCCACAACAACCAGATCATGCCCATCGATTAATTCAGCTGCAACCAACTCATGTGCTATACCTTCAACGGTATCCACTGATGGCGTGTAATCAAATTTGATATCATTCAGCTCTTTCTGCGCATTCCTCACACGCAGGACCTGAATTTCGAAGAAATCATCTACTCAAAAAAATGATAATAAAATAAAAAAATGAAATGATTAGTCAAAAAAACTTTATTCACAATTGAAAATCAACTTACCTTTAATGATCCTGAAAATTTTCGATCAGCGGAGGTGCGTTATCATAGTAATCTTTCTACCGATCTTCATTTCTCAGACATATAATAGAATGGCAGTAGTGATGTGATGGTAGTGGTGGTAATACATCCAACACAATACTTTTCTACTCACATATCTCTTTTACCTGCTACAGGAGAAAAAAAAACAATTTTCATTTAAAATATTTGAAAAGTAAATAAAATTCCGAAAATTAAACGAAACAAAGTACCAAATTGATGGTTTCCGAAGCAGTTGCTGCAGCAGTTGAAGTCGTTGGAAGGTCCATTTTTTCACCCTCTTCTTCTGATTCACTTTCTTCCGGTTCGAATTCCCAGTTTCCTTCCGAATTCTTCTTCAGTTTACCCGACGCGACCTGGAAGACGCATATGGAAACCAAATTTATTTGATAATTGGAAATTATATTAACAACTTCAAAGAGAAACGTACATAACAAGAAGAACGGAAAATTTGATATTAAAGCTTATTTATCTTTCTGACTTAATCCTATCAAATTTTTATTTTCCCTAAAAGGGAATTACAAAGAAAATTCATTAAGACTAAATTAAAGGTTGACTGAAATAACTAGAAGACATAATGCAGAGAAACAATAAAAATGAAAGTGCATTACTTATAATCAAAAATCAAGTGTTTTGTTATCATTTAAATTATCGCTTGACATATTAACCTTTTTCGGTGCATCAGTTTGATGATGAGATGGAAGCGGCATAGATGCTAGGTCTTCAATTAAGGCATGCACCAAATACTTCTTGTCTTTGGCCTTCTTGAAAAAGGAATACTTCAGTAATTCGCTTGCAGTTGGTCGCTTTGACGGATCTTTCTAAAAACTCACTAAATGACTTCATGTTATTTTCATGTAAGTTACTGATGTAATATCTTAATATGACAATTTTTGAACCTTAGGAGTATATTTATTATCCCCACTGTTGTTCGCTAAATCAAATTAAATTAAATTTCACTAATTCATCAGATGAAGGAGTTATCAGCTACTGCAATAAAAAATAGTTAAGCAATCAGTTAATTGATTCACATGTAAGTGAGTAAATGAATGACGGTTAGGAAACAAAATCATTTTCATCACCTGTAAACAATCCTTTATAACGTGGCGAAAGCTTTTTCCATATGCTTTATATTGATCTTTTCTCTCTGCATTTGTGTCTAAATTTGGCGGATCATTTTGTAACGTTAACATTAAAACCTAAAAGTACTGAACAGTTAGTTTGCGCCTACTTTGATGCAAAAGAAAGGGAAAAAACTGACAATAAAATATCTTTTTTCAGTAATACCATTCTTCATGAAACAGTGAAATACTATAAATAAATATCTATCAAAATATAATGAGTAGAAAAACCAACCTTCATCGGTGGGAATTTATGATAAGGAGCTGTACCAGTTGCTAATTCAATAGCCAAAATTCCAAAACTCCAGATATCAGCTTTGAAGTCGTACCCTGAAACTTGCTCCATAACCTCCGGAGCCATCCAGCATGGCGTCCCAACGAATGTATGCCGAACTTTCTGTAAGACTGTGGTATTTAGATCAAGAATACGGCGCTCTAAACCTAACCTTTAAAAGTTAGATGAGATTACCAAAGATCCGACTATTTTTCAAGAAAAAATAAAATAGCAATATAAATATCAACAAACTTGTCTTGACAAGTCTCCTTGACTCGCAGCCAGCCACCCAGAAACGCCAAAATCAGCAATCTGAACTGTGCCATCATCGGCAATTAGTATATTGCCAGCCTTAAACATTTCTAACACTTTATTTCGCATACATAAACCTTCTACAAACGAAAAAATCTTTTTTACTTGCATATTTGATAATGTCTGTCAGATCCGACATCAGTGATTAAAAAGACAGCTTTTTTTAATTCTAAGAAATTCAAACGGTTTTACATTAAATTTTATTTCAAAAAGTTGGGAACTTTCCTACCTTAACGTCACGATGTATCTGTCCACTGCTGTGAAAATATTCCAATCCTCGTAACACTTCTTTCAGGACGGTAGCAATAGTTACTTCATCTAAAACACCCGATGAAGCCGCTTCCTTTCCCATTGCCTAAAATGGGAACATACAAAAAGCTCTAAAATCAAGGGCGTTATTATAAACTAAATCATCAATAGTTCAACTAAATTATTGGAAATGCAACTACATCACTGACTAAGATACAGATGCATTAATTCCATATACATAATCTACCTTTATACGTCGTTTCAGGATATCAAGCATACTTCCACAATTGAGAAGACGCATAACAACCCATAATTCTTCTCCGACAACGAACGAGGTATGATACATTACGACATTAGGATGCATACACAGTGCCATTGCCTAAATGATAAGAGAAATGAAACCTGATATTACAAAACTCGAACAACAAATATACTGCTATGTGGATTTCATAGACACATCAATGGACAAGCACATTTTTCACATTATACCTAAACTTGCATAATCTCTTACACCTTAGTAGCCTTTTACCCCTCTCTCCCAACAAGTTGCGTTTACATTTATTTCATGGAAGAGTTCGTCGACCGAAGTTTGACATTTCTCGAGATTAATGCATTTTATAGCACACAACTCGTTTCGCGGAATGCATAATGCCTGGAAGTGAAAAACCTACAATATGCTTCATCAACCACAAAAGGGTAGTTATTTCATGATTATTAGATATTAACTTCCATAACATATATATATATATTTATATATATAGAATCCTTAATACTTCCCCATTATTTCTTGTATTTAACTCATTTACACCTCTTAATTTCGGCAAAGCCGAAATTTTTGAGAAAAAGGGGTGTCATCCATTCCTTAGCTTCACAATGCTCTTCAAATATACTAATACTTATTATGAATGCATTATATGGATAAGGAGGGACAGAGAAGGAAAAACCAATGTACCTTGTATACAGTAGCGGTTGCACCAATGCCAATGGAATCTTGTAATTTGTAATCTTCTTTTTTATTTGGCCAAACGGTATTACCGGGGCCCTCATCCGGTGGATGGTTTGTACTCATCCAAAGCGGTTCGGAATCGTTCCACTTCGTAGAAAACAATAAGCTTCTTTGTCAATCCTATAACGAATTTACTTGTGTGGAATAATCGAACTAGGAGATTAATTAATCAAAAAGCGAAGCATTCAAACAAAATAATTTTGATTTTGAAACCTTATAAAGAAGTTAGCCTCTTTCCTCCCTTTCAAGAATCTCGGAAATTTCATTAAAAGAAGGAGGATACTGCAACCAAATTCAAGTGATTCATACTAGAAATTCCAATCTCACCTTATTATAGCTCTCTAAGATAGCCTAATTAGATAATTAGAAATATCCAATATGTTTTAACATGACATTCTTTCAAGCTCTTAACAAGTTCACTACACAACAAAACTTTAGGACAAAAATCCAACTATTCTAACGCTTCGAATTTCTTAAGTTTTTTGATTTATAAAATCCATTTTTTTAGAAAGGTTTTTTGAACTCTTTCAAAATCTTTTGAAATTTAAAATAAATGCCACGCTTTCTAAAAATTGTCACTGAAAAGCTACATAGGTATATGATAGACCAACCTTGCAACAAATAGTAATAATTTCAAGAACAAGCCAGAATTTTTTACTTGATCACGAGCAAAATGGCAATTACAGCTAGTAGTGATAAAATAATTTTAAAAGTGATAAAAGTGACACGATGATAAAAACATATAATGCATGATATATCACAAAAGATACAGATAAATATAGAGAAACCATCAAAAATATACAAGCAGAAGCTGTAGGGAGACCTTAAAAGATTCGTGGAAAAGATACAAAAAAAGAAAAAAGATATAATAAAAATTATCACTTTCTAATTTACCCAATTATTAAACAGATAAGCTAAACTACTCTTACTAACATATTTCGAAACTCATATTTAATAAAAACATCGAACTGAGTATTTTCAAATCTTTTATGAATTTATTTTGAAAAAAAAAGCTATTCACATATAAAGCAGCGAAAGAACAAAATAACAATACTACAGAAAATACTCTGTACGAAAGATAATTGATTACGATGAAAATGCAAGAAATCTATGACCTTGGCCGAAACTTACGCCAGTTTCCAATAATGATCGAGATCTGCCTAAAAGAACATCTGTCTCTCATCTGTCACCTTTCAATCAGCAGTTGAGATCAATCACGAATTTTTCTTATCAATAGTCTTGATCTGGGACTGAATAAAGTCATAATGATTCGCTTACTATATTATCTTACCCAAATTAATTTTTCTCATACAATAATCCAAAACATGCAAACAGCTACTAACAAGGAAAAAGATATGGTTACTATTATTAAGAGAAAAGATATGATTCCTTTCCTTAAAATATGCAAGTTCAAAAGCTCCCTTAAAATACTTTCTTAATTCCATCTCTTTAGTTAAAACAAAATAAAATTATATTTATAATTAGACAAGTAACTCTAGAAATATTTTCACATAGAGAAAACTTTTTCAATACATCTAACAATTACCACTGCTTCCTTTCTCTTTTACACTCTCTTGCACCACTCACAACATCAGAAACAAGAAATTTTAAAAAGGATCACCTGACTCACTGCTGCTCCACAACCGATCAATTCATCTTCTTAATATTCAATAACATTTATTATCTTAATATTAGTTTAGTTTGATTCTTCACTCCTCTTAGCGTGAATATATTAATCTTCCCATTTCTTTTATTGGTTCAAATCATCGGCTTAAGAAAGCATTTCAAAGTCAAAAATACAATAATTAATTAAGTAATTGTTCAAAAATTCCTCAATCCTTCAAGCATTACCATCAAAATAATACCATTGATAATGCAGCATAAAAAACAACTAACTTCCATTTTATAATGATTAAACAAAATGAATTTTTTTCCATGCAACAGAATGTACTTGACAACCTGTTCAAATGCCTTATAGAGGCTATGTACGTCAAGAATATACTACTCCTTATCGAACGAAAGAAATCTCATTACCAACATATTCAAAAAAAGAATGAAGGTGCGAAAAGTTCCGCCATTTCAGGGAATCGATTCTCCTGAACAGAATAAAGAAATAAAAAACGAATGTCCAATTAATGAAAAAAGACCTTAACAAGAAAGGGAAAATAAGCAAAATAACAAATAATTCCTAGCTCTTTATAATCAACTTCCTTATAAATGGGTATGAAAAGCAAAAAAAGAAAATAAGGACACTCAGTATTATATCATCAATGCAAAAGAATAAGTTTCAGCCTGTTTTGTTTCATTTAATTGTTGCTTTTATCTTTACAAACATTGCTGTCACTTTTTTTAGTGATGATGAAAGAATCTCAAAGCAGAAGATGCTTCTCTACTTCGTCTTTCTTTAAGCAAAATTTTATCCCTAACATTATAATTGTGTTTGGATCATTCATTTTCCTATAGCAAATCCTGCGACAAAGCAGCTGTTTTCTTCCTTCTTTAACCGTTAATATGCACTATATTAATTCTGTATAAGAATCTGAGGAACTTAATGTCGCCATTTGAACCATGTAAAAATATGGGTCTTAAATTCCATTCAATTTAAAAGAAAAAAATTCATGACAAATAAGTTATCAGTGATTAACCAAATTGTTGTTGTTGTTGATATCCTTGCTTACCCAATGCCTGCTCCAATAAAGCTATTTGAGCCTAAAAATGCAGTGTTATTAGATTAAGAGTTATAAAATAAAGACACTATTCGTTCATTACTCGAAAGATACTTCTAGGAATGAATAAACTGGCAACAGTAACAAACGATTATTTGAGTAAGTTAATATACGTTTTACCTGTTAACTTGTTTTATTTTTTTTAGAGCTAAAAAAATTCAGAGTATTGAGACAATCATTTTTTAGGACTGTGTAGATGCACAGTTGAGACACAAATAACAAAAAAGCAATGATGGAGATGAAAATACCGTACGATGGAGGTCTAACAGATCATTATGCAGTGGACAAAATACAACACAACAATTTGACAACTTCAGCATGGAAATTCGATTTAAAAAATGAGTCATTTTCTTACGAAAATTTAATTAATGGAAAGGGAAGCATTGTTGAATAGGCTTGTGTAAAATATAATTAGTGACAAAGCCAATCTAAGGAGTCTTCGGGATCAAAATAAAGATAGCAGAATGAATAATATGAGAATGAACAACAGGACCACAATATAAATAATAACTGAACAACACATTCAAACAAAAAAAAGAAATTGATTTTTATTTTACGTATTTGATTTTCTCAGGTAATAAAAAAGTTGAAAGTATCATATTAACAAAACAGAAAAAAAATGAACCTCAAGAAGTAACCATAATTATTACCTTAGCGTGCTTGATCTGCAGATCTGCTAGATCAGTTAAATTTTTTTTAAACGCAGACAATCGCCTCTTCTTCAAATCCAACAATTCACCTCTTGCCACCTCACTGATATCTTCGAATTTCTTGCAAGCTTCACTTTGCTCTGCTTCCGCCTAAGCAATTTTGCTTAATTCCTTATTTGAAAAAACATACAATCACTATGAAAATTTATGCGAAATTTCAGATCTATCTCAATTCATGTGATGAAAAAAAAAATTATATCAGAGTGGTTCAATGGATATAGGCTCCATCAATTTGAAATTTTAAGGATTAGAAAAGGGTAACGAAGAATCAAGTCTTAGTATATCCTACCTGAAGCTGCAAAAAGGCATGTAGAAAGGGAATGCAAGTACTGTAAACCAGAGCATGCTCAACCAGATCAAATTTGGATTATCGGTTTATTTTATACATCATAAGACGGATCTTAATGATTTAAAATAGTTGAAATAGTAGAAAAGCAAGACAAGAGGAGTTTAAAAGTAGATACTTTTTTACTTTTAGTACTTTTAGACTCCTAAAAAAAAATGCATGAAAAATACTCTTGGTATATCTTTATTACGTCCTCTGGCACGTTCCAAAGTTTTGTTCGCTCCTTCATAATTTGCCAAACAACGCATCCTGCGATACAGAAGATTCTGAAGCCAAAATAATACTTGAAAAAATTAAATAACAAATATTCATTAAAGTTGAATAACAAATATCCATTCTTACGCTTATTACAAATTTAAATAACTACCAACCACTGCAACTGATCGATGTTACAAATAAAAATTACATTTTTATTGCAAAAAAACGCTTGCTATTCCGGATCACTGATGTTTTGCTCAATCAAGAATTTTAAACTGGCAGAAAACAATAAAATAATAAAAAAGTATTCTGAAGAATATTTTCTTTAAGCTGTAAGATAATTATAATACTACAATCAAAAATATAAAGAACAAAGTTTCAAGAGCAGGAATTCAAATTTCGAGCAACTCTCAAAATTTAACTGTTGAAATGACAGCAATCTCCTTATCAATATTTATAATCCTGGCATTTCAGGTACTCTTAATTCATCTTTTTCCAAACGACCTACCTTAGCAGCATCAGTATCTTTCATGTAGTATTGCAGAGTATCACCCAATTTTAACTCCTCATCAGTCGCTACTCGACTCTAAAATATCACGATTTTTTGGATTATGAAGATATTTCAGTGATCTTTGCCAAACCTGCTTGAATTAATCCAAATGTTTCAATGACCATTTCAATTCGTTTCAAAACAATGAGGTAATCAGCTCAACATTATCGATTGCGGGTAAATTCATATTTGAGGTTCACAAAATAAGAAATACCAAGTAAATCTCAGAAAATAGCAAAAGATATTTGATTAGCTATAATTATTTGAATGTTAGAAAGAAAGGTCAATTACCTCATGCTTCTTCAGCTTTTCAAAAGTGAGTGACCCTCGTACCAAATCCTTCTGTAGCTCACGATCCAACTCCTGCAGCGCCATTTTTTCGAGACATGAACCAACTCGTGCATATGAATCGGCTACATCTAGAAATTTTATCAAACATTTTTAATAACTAGAAAGAAGGAAGAATTTTCTTTTCTTCTTTATATGGAACAAATTTCATTCATGGTTGTCTAGATGAAACGATCACAATGGATGGTGGTACGGTGGTATCGATTTCTGTTTTCAGCAGTATTAAGTACGAACTTTAAAAGCTTCTTCTTTAAGATCACTCTCCTCTCATAACAGCAATGCAAAATATCCAACTATGACTTAAACTTAAGCTTCTAGGCACAAACTATTCAAAGTAACTCTTTGCCCCAAAAAAGAGCTCAAAGCAATATTTAATTGATTTTATAGCTTAAGGACTAGAAAAAATTACTTTCGTAAACTATGAAAAATTAGGCATACTTCAACGACACAAGGATTTCAAACCTAAAACATGAAAACCAAAGTTGCAAAACCTAAATTTTCATTTAATAGATAGTGTCCGTCATCACAAAGCATATTTGAGAATTAAATGGCAATAACGATTTATAATTCGTTAATCATCTCAAAATATGGCTCATAATCTAAAATTTTAGAGCATGAGAATTCCAGTGAAAAGTATTTTGTATGATGAATTCGATGTATGATAATTGCATGAACTCAGAAATAAATCTAATACAGATCTCAATTCTTCAATTAGCTATCTCATACTTATCAGTTTTTCTTCTGTTCGTTTATTCATAATATCGTACTAATACCTTATTTTGGATTAAATTTAAGTTAAGAAAAGAATTCTCCATTAAGCATGAAAATAACGCGATAGTCGGCTTATATGGAAAGCCCAAAAAAATTTTGCCATTTCGATGGTCAAAGCTAAACACAAAATGATGTATGATGACATAAAAGCGAAAAGAGTGAATGTAATATGAATTTAAAAAAAAGTATCGAAAAACACAAATCTAAGAAATAATTTACAGCTTGCATAATAGGAAGAATGAGTAGAAATAAAATTCTGTATTTCATGAATTATTAATCAATGACGGTAGTGAAAGGCAGTACAAGAAAACAAAAAAGTATGAAGCACAGACTGCTTCGTTTAAAAAAAAAAAATGACCTGTAGAAAGTATTAAAAATTGATGCACCATTTAGAAACTACTAATTCAAGCATTGCAAAAGTACTAAATTAACTCTGAAGTAGCCCAATCTTGTAGTACCACCATTTGAACGACTAATTACATACTGAAATATTCTGTTAGCATCATCAATTTAAACAACAACGAAAGTACTAGGAGTCTAAAATGTCTTTAAAATACCGATAGACACGGTTAAGAAATAAAACTTACAAGTAATTAAAGTCAGAAAATTATATGACAGAGAAATTTAAAAAGCAAACCAATAAACAATAAACAAATTAACATTTTGACAGCTGAATGATACTTCGTTAAATTATGGAGTTGCAAAATTTTCACCAAAAAAAACTGATGAAATTTCACTAGCAACCCTACACATGCACATTGAACATTCTAGCCTTTCTCCTTCCTTTTTTTCCTGAATGAAGCAAGATCAATTTATTTCGTTTCTTCAAATTAATGTGTCTCTTTTCAAATTTTAGTAATTCCTCCTTCTCTCTTTTTTTACGTCTTTACAATGCAAACACATCAATATTGCTTACAACTTCACTCATAAGAGTGAAATCATTAAAACCAGGACCAAAAATGAAGAAAAAAGGCATCTTCACAAAATTTGAGACGTTATGAACGATATCGCCATTTGTAAAGAAAACAAGAAAAAAATGATAAAGATCAATAATCACCGACAAATTTTCTGGAAAATGTTAATGAATAAATGATTATAAAGAAAACAGTACTTCCGGAAAAGGAAAGTAGCTAAGCAAATAATATGAACACTGCCAATAATTTCTCACTTATTAATTTCTCAAAATTATTTTCAAATTAAAAAGTATCATTAAAAAAATTAATCATGAAAAAATGAAGAACTACTTGAACTCAAAAATTTTATAAGCCAGAAAATTGCGCCCTAATTCTGTTGAAAATCTCAATTTAAGCGAAGGAAACACTGGAACAAATTAGATATTATCATTTACATGATCCAATTCCGGTAAATTCACGACCAAATTGCAGATGAAAGCGGGACAGGTTTCGGGTAAACATATTAGTGTAACTGATAGAGAGGCAACAGCCATTCGATCAGCAATTGATGACTCAACAAATTCTTTTTAAATGAAACAAAATAATAGCACTTACTGAACGAAAATTAAAATTGAGCCAAAGCAATCTAAACGAAAGAAACTTGTGCAAAAATTTTGTGCAAAGGAAAAGAATGAAAAATCTTCGAATTATTTCGAGCGTCAATGCAACAATGTACAATTGATTGCAACAATCCAAAAAGAAATAAATTCACAAAATTGTAAAGACACAAGAGAAAGAGGCAAAAAAGATAAGAAATGAAAGATAACGAGAGAGGAAGCAAAATAGAGCGATGACTCCTGCGAAGTGGACATAAAAAGAATTTCAGTAATTTGAATTGAAACAAAATTTTGCAGAAAATAAAAGGTGGAGAAAAAAATATAAGAAAAGAAAGCTTTCGCACGAAATTTCTTAAAATAAAAATAGAGTTTTGTAAAATAATATTCGAAAAATCTATTCTAATACTATTTTCTTTCATTCTTTAGAAAGTTTTCAAGAAAGAAAAACGAAAGTATAAATGAAACCAAAGAAGAAATGCAATGACCATGAAAAATGTGAAGTTGTAGGGTAAAGAAGATAAGTTCTATCCAGCCATAATGATCCATATAAAAAGTTTGCGCATAAGTTGCAAATATTTTAAATAATTTAAAATAACCCCCTCAAATAATTCAAAATAATCCTTAAACCATCAAGATTTTCAGCTTTCTACCACGTCAAGATGAAATTGCAAACATTTAAGTAATCAAACACCTAAAACAATTCAAAATAATGGAAGCAACCGTAACATAGAAGGATGCAATGTGATTAAAATATTAGAAATTAATAAAACATAAAATATTAAGAATTTGTTGAATAAGATATAAGTTTACTCGATCATTCTCATCTGGAAATATAAATCAAAAATTTGAAACTCCACGATTGGAAAAAAAGAAGCCAGATAACATTAATGAACAAGCTATTCGAAAAAATGCAACAAAAGTCCCATGGTTTACATAAATGCTTACCGAGTAAAAAGCTAAACACCGGTACTTAAATGAACATCCAATCACTTCAAAAATTCTTTATGAAACCGCTCCTGATTCTAATATTTCTATAATTTAAATATGTTGCAACTTTTGGCAGATTTAAGACATCATAAACTGCAGAACTGTAATCAATGACCACTTTTAATATCTTTGCTTGTTTGTAAATTCGAAAAGTCCCGGTCAGTAAAATCATATTTCCCTTTTTAGGAGCCCATAAGTTACGGACCGGAAGAAATTCTAAGTTCTTCCTTACAAATTCTTCAAACAACTAAAATCAATAAAGAAAAAAGAATTAAAGTTCAAACAAGCATCAGAATAATAAAGCGGATGACCATGATTGCTTCAGCCAAGATCGAAGAAGAACAAAAATTGAACTAATCATAAATCGTATTCTTAAAATGGGAAAAGCAAACGAAAAAATCAGAAGCTAACTTTTACGAAGTCGTGAAATCCTGTCACATCTCGATGAAGCTTCCCTCACATGTGTATAATATTCAACCAAATAATTCCGTTCATGTTCGAAGAAATCATCAATATCCTTCTGCAAAAAGAGATTATAAAACCATAAATATTTTCACATCTTACCTTCCTCATCCGCTTCTCATTTATAAAGCATGATAACATTAGATGAATAAGGTCCGACGCAGTTCGAATCCGAACTTCACTTCACTATGAATTAGTACTTATCATATATTGAAAACCCCAGTAACATGGTGATTAATTACATGATATGAAAACTAAAATTCAATATCATACATTTTCTCCTACCTGTCCTGACAGTAATACTTCATCGGCAGATTGTGTTAATCGTTTCCAAAATGAACCAACAAGTTCTTTTTTATTTCTTGCACGCACCGAAAGCTAAAACAAGATTTTAGTATAATAAACTAGTTTGAGGACGCTAGTTAAAAAAATCACGAAAAGAAATTCTGTAAATGATTTATTATTATCTGCTAAGTGGCACAATTGCTATAGTTCATAACACTTCCACTCTTCCCGTTTTTATGCTAATTCCGTCCACCAAATGTTATAATCATTACAAACTTACGCAAAATGAAACGAATCTTTTTCTGTTCTAATTGTCAAATCATAATAAAATTTTCATCAACTTCTCATAAAACGAAAGTCATTTTTTAAATTAAGTGTTGAAAGATTTTAAATCCTTCAAGCTGAAAAAGAATTCTGTGTAAAACTAAAAAGGTCAAATATTTGCAAAGACACTTACATCTTGTTCATATTTCAAAAATATCCGGAAATTGGGATCATTCATGAAAACTGGGTGCGCCGCAAGACGACACAGAAACACTTCATGCATAGCGACCGTCTTCTTGAATGTTGCAAGATATTCTCTAAAACATTGATGATTCCGATAATTTAAAAATAATTGTTATTTTGAAAAGTAAAAAAAAATTCTATGCTGTTATTTGTCAAGCATCATTTTTAGCATTTATTTGGTTAATTATTTCATATTCAAGAAACAATCAACCAAACAGAGCGAAAAACCAAAAAAGAGAAAAAAAATATTTTCAGACCTTCTATCCAACATTAAAAAATAGAAAAACTAAATATCCTTTTCGAAATTTTGCAAAAAAAATTCCATGAGGCTCTCTCTCTCCTTCTCCTTCTTTCCTACCTCCAACATATTATAAATGACAACAACTTTTAAAATCTATAGTGGCATAGATTAGTACATTAATTTTAAAAGTTCTTGTCAGTTATATTAATTACTAAACTTACTGTTCCAACTCTTGTTTCATTTTTAGAAATTCATCCTTTGTCATCGTTGATTCACCTTCACCCAACCTTTGGAGCTTTTCACGTGATGCATCAAAATCCGGTCGTGGTGGTGCTGGAGGAATCTGTAAGCAATTCTCATCGAGCATAGCTAAATAGATATGCAGATTTGTATTTAGGAATCAAAAGAATACATCTTTGTATTATAATTTAAAACAATTTGATTGAAACATACAATAAAACCTGCATATGCTTCATTTTCCTCTAAACATGTATGCAACCAAATGAATTCCTCATGTTCTCGTACAACGCTGACTTCATTTTTCGAAAAATCCGGAAGTGTTGTCCTCGTATGAACTGTGTATTTCACCTAAATTGGCATTAATACAAATACACACAAGTAATGTTTGCTGATTTCATTTCAAAGTTTTATTAACATATAGAATGTAGTCATGTGCTTAGCATTCTAATCGTGTTACAGATGAGCTGGTAATTTTAGGAAACAAACATTCGAACGATTGAACTAATTTGAGGACGCCAGTTTGCAATAAACAAATATACAAATCTACGAGATAAGGCCCTTAACATATTCCATATTTCATATATAAAGTCCTGCTTATATTTGGTTTATCAGTTATTGTTCACTTGAAAAAACATATCAGCATATTGATGAATAACAAAACATTAAACCTTACCTTATCTCTTTCAGAAAGAGCATCCGAAATATCAACAATCAGGCAATTGTCTTTCGACAGATCAACGTTAATTTCTTCAGTTCGATGCTATTGAAAGGAAATTATTTCAACTTTTATCGTTGCATTATACAGCAATTTTACATACACTCTTTAGATCAGCATATATAAAATGTGTTAGCTCAAGCTTCACAAATAATTTTGCACTAAATTAGGGAAAATAATTAATAACTATTTCACAAATGAACAAATTCCAAGGTTAGACTTTATTGCGTAAATTAGCTAATTGGATAAACAAAACATTTTGCTCCAAAAAAATGAAAATTAGAGTTTCAATCAATCACAAAAGGTAACAGAAATTTTTGTAAACTTAATTGAAAAACAAATAAATTCCAGTTTCTTGTTTTTGGACAAATTAGTTAACTGTGGAAATAAATCAAACTTACAGTCCTTTCGTCCAAAGCATCACCATTTCCCAATGACGTTAATATTTCATCACTTTCTCCAACTTCCTCATCACTGCTTGCTAGATCTAACGGATTTTTTACTGTTGTTTCGCTTCTTCCATTCACAACTTCGGCCATGTTCGTCTTTTCTTTCCCACGACCTTTACGAATCAGAATTTTCTCCAGCAAAATTAATTTCTATTATGCATTCGAAGCAAATGTAAATTCGAAATTCGAATTATTCCAGTACAAAAATTAATCTATTTCATTCCATTCAATTACATATGTGTAAAAACGAGAAAAAAAATCATCAAAAATCCGAAACAAAATAATCATGTGAACAAATTTACGATAACGAAAAACACAAAGTTGAATATATAAAAACTTAAATAGAGATAAAATAACCTAATTAAATGAAGTAATTTATTATAATATCAAATACCTCTTTCCATAGCTGAAATTTTTGATAACCTCAGCATCAATCACTAATATCATGATGAACCTATTTAGCATACTGATAACAACGTATTATACATGCACACCAATCATCATCCAAAACATTACTATCGTTTGTTACCATTTCACAAAAACATACTATCTTGTTTCACTCTTATTCACTATTACAATCATCACTACGTCTGACCATTTTGTAAAACACTTAATTCTTAACTGTAATTAATACATTATTTTTATACAAAAAATAAGCTGTGTCATTTATTGAATTCAAATATCATCTTTCTTTTTATTTGACCTTAACCTTTTATAAAATTTTAAAATTTTCTAAAAATAATTCAAGCAAAGAGAATTACTTTGTAAACATATTATGATCATATTTGTTGGAATTTTTCCCTTTTTCTTTCTATTGCAATAATTTCATGATTCATCACAGATCTATAGTCTTTTCATGCACAAATATTTCTGCTCCATTAATCACAATTATGCATATAATAACATTCAACATATAATATACTGGCTACACTGCTATTATTTACCTCTAACAGATAATGTAAACATTTAGTACCTACCTAATTTTGACATGGCGTAAATCGGTAACATTTAATTAACAATTTATGAAATAGTTAAATCACTTAGCTTCCATTAAACATTGATGCATTCACATTACAACATAGCGTTTCATAATCTTATCCTAACATTTCTAGTTTGAATCATTTTCTTTCTAACATAACTGAAAATCAAATAATTTGCTACAACAGAGAATCTCGAATATAAAACGCAACATTACGATGAATGGTAATACCAACATATTTGTGCCACATTGATTCGGTCTGAAAATTTCAAACCTTTAAATTTCAGAAATATTTGAAATATTTGATATGGTAAATGCTCTAATGCGATAGCATGAAAATGTGACAATACCCCAAAAGAAGTAATGTGATATTTTGTGGAAATCTTTTTACATTTCATTGCCTTTGATCTCTTCATCTATTGTATTTCATATTTTATTACTTTTTCCTCTCTCACATTACATCGATTTTTCCCTTATCTTCCATTGTTCCCAACAAAAAACTTTTTGCCTTTTCATTCATTTTTTCTTCTATTGTTCATGTCACAATTTTTAAAGAATTTCTGCATGATTTCGTACCGGAATACTTTTCAGGTATATTATTTTAGGAACACTGGAAACGATCGCACGAACAATGAATGTAACAGATGATTCTGATCCGGACCTATATGATAAACCTAAATTTAATAGTACAATATTGGGACCGGATGAACGATCACATATACGGGAAAGGATTGAAAATACCAGACAAAATGGTAATTATTTTAAGTCTTTTCTTTGCTTCTACATATTTTAAAAGTTTCTCGGGATTCACTGGAATAACTTTGAGCACAAGCACGTAACTTTCCAATAAAAGAATATCCACTACCACCAAATGCCAGATAATAGGATGTTAAATTTTTCTTTGCGAATGGCAAATTTCAATATTTTTTTTCAACGATGTTAAATAATTTGATTTAATTTTCGCAATTTAAACTTTTACTCAGATTTCTTTCTTGCACACAAGCACTTTTCATAGTACTGTTAAAAGCTTCTCTCTTATTTTATGCAAAATCTTAAGGCTGGAAATTGTATTTATAGCTTTAAAGCTGTCTCCGATTCTGAAAGATCGAGTGCAGTTCATAGGTTCCAGTGATAGTCCATTCTCGAAACAACAACATTTTCATAATTCCGAAGACTGCTCAGAACTGCAAGACTGTACTACAAAGGTTCTTTTTGCTCCTTTAAAATTTTTTTCAAATAATAAAGTTTCGAAAATAAATCTGAGGATTTTATCATAAATAATATTTTAATTAGGATACAGTACAGGTAAGTAAATGCCCGAAAAGTAGACCGTGTTTTCAAATGAAAATTCCATGTTTGAGAAAAAATCTTGTACCTGAGATTATGCAGTGCTAATTAACTGATTAACCCATCTGATAGATTTGAATGAAGCGTTAAAAAATTTAAATAATTAACACTTTAATATTGAAAATTTTTTTGACGGACGTTCAAATAATTTTAATTTAAGATTTCCATTTGAGGATCAAGCAGTTTTCAGGCTAAAAGAATGAAGCTTGAAGAGGAGACGTCGTCATCATTTGTAAGATCTGATGTTAAATCTCCTGAAGCTGATAAAGGAAATATGGACATAGCGGTGTCAGAGTTGAACATTCTTTCTGAAAGATCAATTCAACCGAAGTTAGTTGAAATTTATCCAGTTAAATGAAATGGTACGTCAAAATGTAGATTTCTTCGTAATTGTTGAGAACTCTTCTAAACTGTACTGCATTAATTTGTTTATTTTTCTTAAGGAGTAATAGTACCACACGTTCCCAAATAACAAATCCATTCGACAGTGATATAGGAAGCCTTTGTGCAACTACCTACAGTCCAAGTCTTTTTTATAATTCGAAGGTTAATTTTTTTACTTGTATAGTTATTGTTTGGATTTTATAAATCTGTCGAATTTTTCTGCATATATATGAACATAACAGGAATAACCTTCTTTTTGTTATTTTAGAAAGATGTGAAGTGTGAAACTCCAAAAAAATCATTTCGTTGGTCTATTGGGCAATTGGCAGATTTTCATCCAGTGGTTATTGATGAAACGCAATCAATGTGTCAAACACCGTTAGTTTTGATTCATTCTGCTTCCCAGATAGCTTCATTCCTTTATTAAGCAAAAAATTCAAGGATGGTTTTCTTTCCAGGGATCCGGTTGAAGAAGACCAAATTAATAATGCTGTTAACAAATTTTGGGCATCGCAAAGATATGTGTTGCCATCTCCCTACTTTGTATGTTTTCTTCACAATTAATACCGATAGAAGATTGCATCCTCACACTAATAAAGAATTGTCACGGTGTGTGACGGCAGTTTTATGGCACGGAGCCCTCTTAAAAGATGTGAAAATTTTAACGCTTTTGTTTTACAAAGAAAGAAGTCGGAAAATCACCAGTTTTGCACGTTATTGCTTTACATCGTAAGAATTATCATCAATGGTTGGTTTGCATATCTAACAAGATCTTTTCAGATGAAAGGGTCGCCTAGTTCAGAACAAGGCAGAAGCCCAAGCTTGATTCAGAGATCAAGAACTTTCGTATGTGAAATTCTCTCTTACATAATTGTAAAATAAATATGCTGAAATATGGCATTACTGTTTGAGTATGACCGCTTTATGTACATTGGCTTATTTTTTGCATCGAAATTTGCAATAAGGAACTCGTTATTTTTATATTGGTATTAATTTTGTTTTGCAAGCTTTTTTATCTATTAAGGACCTTATTGAATGTTAGAATTTTTGCAGGCACAAGAATCCCCGCTAGTGTTTCCAGTTGTGGGTCGGTCTACTGAATTACAGCGATCTGTTGAAGTACAGACTGCTTTCACATTCCCACCAAACCTTGATTTAATAAGACTTCTAGGTTGTGTTTATTCATAACTTCTAAAAACAAAACTATTTTACTATTTCACTTTTCTAAAACTGCTTCATCAGTTGGCTTTTAATACCATTTCTTGCTTCTCTCTGACAGATTGTTAATTATGAATACTATATTTGAAACGAAATGACGAAAGTAAGAGTAGCAAAGTGATGTAGCTATGAGAATCTGTTTTTGAGTGAGTGATATGGGACTGTTTTTTACTTTATATCTAAGATCATTTTGAATTGTTTCATCCAGTAGCTGCAATTAGTCTCTTAAATTTAATTCGTCCTTTAATTTGGGCTCTTTTAAGGTACTTGCTTCCAGTATGAGGAAGGTGAAGTGGCAGTTTTCGAAGCGAATTTATCACTGAATACATTGCGCCGTAAGCTTTTCATTGATGCATTATCTTCCCAAACAAATGTCGATGAAAATGGGGATTCGGTAGCAATGGACAATGATCACAGCTGCGATGAACAGGAACGGTTAAGCCGTGAATGTCCCGCGTGGTACCATTCGGTGAGCTCGTTATATATGTATATTTCTATATCTCAAGAATTAGTACTACAGCTTAGTATTCATATCTCAGTCCATTTCCTATCAAAAGGAAAATTCAGTATCGCATTAGAAATGTGTCTAATTGTATGACCGGTATTATTTCTTAACATTTAACGAGAAGCAAATACTCCTTTTTTCCCCTTTGTTTAAATCAGTTTTCATTGCAGAATGATAAGATAACGTCGATAAGAAAAGTTTCATTTGACGATGTTGTGGATCCAAATGAAAGAGCTAAAATCACCAGTCGTTTGCTTTCTCCAGACATCTCACCAATAAAAAATTAAGCGGTTTTGGACGGCTCCTCTTTGGGCAGAAATAACGAAATAAAGCGTCCTTCTTGTGCCGAGTTTTCAGCGTAAATTTATCACCTTTCATGTTACATCGGTAATTTGTTAACATACATTGAGAAAATTAGAATTAGTTATTATTGCTGTAATCTGATTTCATGCCGGTGTCGTACAGATTTTTTTTAAGTATGTGCAATGCATTCTTTAAAGCAATATTTTTATCCCGTTGTTCGACTGTTATATTATTGTTCATATCACTGATATTTTCTTACAGAATAAACATTCGGATAAATGATTTTTTCTTACGTCCACAAATCGATTTCATGCTTACCTTCATACTTACTGAAATTATTGTTTATATTTTAAAAAAGGGAAAGACAATGACAAAAAATCTCCACATGAACTATATCTGAAATTGATGTAATAAACCATGTGTGAAAGTAGTAACATTGCGTTGTTATTATGCTACGCAATTGCGCATCAAACGGCGATTTTGTTAAAGGGATTCGACATAAATTACCAACTACCGAACTTTACAAAACGATCTATATTTTACCAGTAGAAAAATTTGGTAAGGATAATTTCACTTTAAAAGATATAAATAACCATCAAAATATAACATCAACCATCAACTATAGGAGGAGTGAAATAATGTGCACGAAATTATGATGTATGATGTCGCAGGATTTCCCGTGATTAAAAGAATTAGGATGTGAATGATTATGTTATTTATTAGATTCTACTCGTTAAAATACACATAATCTTGACAATATTTACCAAGCAATTTACTAAGGTATATAGTTGTTCACATAAATTATTGAGTTAGGTCCAGTAACCAGCAAACATATACTGGGAAAGAAAAACCGTATACTTACATATCAACTTCATATAAATTAAATCAGCGGACCGGTCACACCATCACTGTATAACATCAAATGCGTGTAATATATATGAAAAACTAAAATCAGTTAAAACAATGCTGTAAATGAAAAAGTGACCAATTCTTATAGTTACAAACGGACTATCGCATAATAATTCAATGCAAAAATTCAAACTCATCAGGTAAATAATTCATGTAAGATCAATTTTTTTTACATGAAGTCCAAAATCATCAAAGAGAATACTCATGTTTCGACGATGCGCTCTACTTTTTGTTACCAATAACTTCCTATAACTTTCACTTATATAATATCCAGCGACAGTTTTTCTAGTTTCACATTAACCCATGTTAACACTATTGACTATCAACTTAAAATAACTCAAAGAAATTTGCGAATTGAATCAACATTAACATGTGCGTATTTATTCTTTTAAAACTTCTCAAATAGAAGGAGAGAAAAAGAAACTAAAACAAACGCAAAAACATGAGCAGTACGAAAGAAAAGATGAAGCTTCCATAATCCAGCGTTTGAAATTGAACTTTAAAATTAAAACTGAACAAATGACAATCAACAGAGAGTCCTAACAATGGATAAACAATTTGGAGCCTGTTAAGTATACCTTGAAATGATATGTTCTTCATCATTTCGACGATATCCCGTACTGCAACAATAAGTTTTTTATCACAACATTCTCAAAATAAAAGTGTCATCACCGGAAAAAATTAAAATTTGAAAAGATTGCTTTTCAAGTTCCAAAACTACTTGACAAAAAAGAACAAAAATAAGAGACAGCTAAGTGATCTGCTGCTATGTTCTTTCAATTTTAATGTTTAAATCATTTAAAATAATGATGAAACGAGAATCAAACCTAAAAGTAATGAGATTTTTCAAATTATGAAAAAAAAATCGAATTTTTAATATGAAATAATAAAAGGCTGAAATGTGGCACCAAGAAAAAATTATGAAAAGATCGAAGAGATACGCACAACATATCCATATGCAACTTCTTCCCAAACGGCATCATTCTCAACTTTTTATACAGCACAAACACATTATTAAAAATATTGCTTAAAGAAACTCTGATATAAACCGGCCAGTCAAATTGATAACAGAAAAACCACTAATGCTTTTCTAACAAAACCCGCTTCCAAAAGACTAGATATGTTAATTCAAACTACAGTTCCGCTGAGATTTACTGGGACCGGTGAATTCATCGAGTGTCGTTGTATCACCGCCTAAAATTTGGTTATTTTGAAATTCACTTGGTGCGATTTCATGTTATTTTTTTTACGTAACCTCATCTTATTAGCTAAGAAAACACTATTTTCATCTTCATTTTTACATATCCATTACCTGGGATGTGTAAAGTCTGCATGCTGCGCAAGCTTGGTAATGCGCTCTTCAAAAGGTTTGGCACATACGAGAACTGATACAGAGATTTTTAACGTAAATGATTGTTATGAAAACAATCAGTGATATCGTTTCTTCTCAAATTTTTATAAGGACAAAAAAAAACTTAGTGAAGAATGTATGAACCTTGCCAGGTCGAGCCCAAGTTAATATGAAACCTTCTTGACATGCAGTTACCACGCAATCCTCACGAAATATCAATCCCGTTAAGCGTTCATGAGCGATTTTCTTGCATACCAGTGGTTCGATTATCGCAATTTCTTCCATTCGTGGGCACACCGGTGTACCCAAGAATTTTGCGGAATTTTCTTTACCTTTTTCGTTCGCTGTAGTAGCTGAATGATTTCTGTTCCACCTTAAAGAAGATTAAAAATTTCTAAATTTTTTATTCTAATTTTTTTTTCTTACAACAAATAATATATCAAAGTTATATTTAACCATACATAAGAGCTCATAGTTCATCTCGTATTGTCTTTTCTTTTCCTCTTACGCACACAAACAAACATGAAAATATAACTTACCTATCATGTGAACTACCAGTTAACTTCGCAGAGAAACTAAAACCGCGTTTGTGTTTTTTCTCTTTGCCATGTGATCGCTCTCGAACGTCAACAGTATTAAGTTTTGACGATTCCAAAGTTGCACACATCACCATATTCTACATATTAAATGAACATCTATTCCAAAAAAATGGTAAAAAAGCACCTTGCCACGTTGTCTTCACTAAAATGCTGAGCAATAAATTATATTACACAATTTTTGATAAAAAACCTGGTCAGTTCCGATCGAAATAACAGTTGATGCATGATGATTAGGCGCTGTTTGCCTCAACACATTCTCTGTTAAATCCCATAAACACAGCTGCGTATCATGGCCCACCGAACCAATTCTGAAAGCAAAGAAAATATTATACAAACTGATCAGATAGACCAAACAGAATAAAAATATATAATAATTATAATTAAAATTAGCTTAAAATAAAGACCGTAAAAGAAACATATGTTGAAACAGTGGATCTTTAATAAACTTTCTGTGGATTTTGGCATATTGTTAATCAGTTTTGTCAATCAATTAAACAGCTTTTATTTATCTTTACTCTGAGAAAATACTCTTTATTTTGACAATTGGCTATAAAAAAAATTATTAACAAGCTTTAACCGCTTCAGAACCAAATCTGACGCAAATCAATCGCAGATTAAACGGAACATTTGAAGACTAAAGTTAGAGCTTCTTGTATCATGTGTGAAATATAAATGACAATGAACGAAATTCACCTGTAAGTAACACCCATATTGGTATAAGCGCTACCGGTAACAGATAATACGGAAAGAGAATCTTTCCGCGCTCGCGTTTGAACATTTGACTGCATTCCACCTCGAACACTGGGCGTTGAATTACCAGCTGCAATATTCCTGATCGTATTTGTCATAAGGTTTGCTAATATATTACTGTGTAGCGATAAAATATCCTCAATTAAACATTTCTTTACACTTGAAATATATAACGAATAGAAAAAAACTGTTCAGCGAGGTCAAAACTTCTAACAAAGCCATTTCTTCAATCAAATCAACGCATCAAAATTTATAAAAATTATTATTAATATCCGGTATATTTTACTAGCATTAGTATAATTATTGCAATTACTTTTCAATTAAATCATCTGTAACATACTTATTACTTATATTCTTCTTTCTACTTGAATGTTTGGGAAAACGTTTTTGGAATAAAGAATCATGCAAGCAATTAAGTAACGAAAATTGTTTATTAAAACATACTGGAATTTTTTAACGAAGATAATGGGATAGACGCCGAAGTAGACTGCAGATCACCAAGAGACGATGGCCCGTTGAACTGCACGTTATTGATAAATATACGATTGAATGATTGTGCAGTTGGACCTATTTAAACAAATAATTACACATTTTGTCATATCCATCATTACTAGTATCACTAAGAGAAGCAATTTTTGGCCTGAACCATTATTTCCCACATCCACACTATATGATCTTTAACGAAACTGAACCTGCGATCAAGATGATATATGTTGAAAGAAGCAGTGCACATTCGCGGAATTTTAAATGAATACATTACCATTTGAAATTTATAAAAAAGTGAACTACCAACATTTTGTCAGAGATGAGATCTATGTCCGGTCAATTTTAACACCCACTAATACATCGGTAGAAAATGCACGGCGTAAAATGTTCATACTGATCCAACTGGTAACACATTATAACCTGGATACTTACTTTCAATTTGCAAAATTCTTAAATTTTTATAAAAGAACGAACTTTTAAATAGCGCATCGTTACTATTTAAACTTGATGGTTGCAGATCTTCTTCAGAACCAAGATCGACTGGAATATTCGAGTGACCGACAGTATCTGTTGCACATGAAGCATATGGATCAAAGGCTACCTGCAATTCGCGCATTTAATATCTCTTTACCTGTTTTAAATCACACCACTAATAAAAAAATTCATAGTTTTAATAAGAAATTCCAAAATTTCTGGCTGAAATATCATACAAAAACGTTACGGTGTATTTTCAAACATTCAAAAGCATTTTAAAATATAATACTTTTACCGAAAACTCAGTAATTTTGTAACTAAATTACGGAGTATTTTTCACAGTTCCACTTTTTTAAGCTAAATGGGGAAAACAAGGAGCTCACTTTAGAAATCCAACTTCTGTGACCTTGTCCACGACAAACGACTCGCTTCTCTATAACCGAATAAACAGTTATTAGATCATCTTCACCGCCAGTAACAATGTACCGTGCATCAGGGCTCCATGCTAGACAAAGTAATCCACCGAAATAGGATTTCATATAAGCCAGCAATTCCATTGCATGATAATTGAAAATTCGCAAAAAACCATCCTAAAAATAGTGAAAAATGAAGTTAAAAAAAATAATTATGCTATCACAACAAACTATGTCCATCAGGCCTGATTAATGTAAGTGGTTATATATCCTGATCACTACGTACAACCATGCATGGGTTAATGATATATAAATTATAAGCCCCCACGACCAGCACCATGCTTGAGCCTATCAGTTATAAATTCGGTTCTAAATTAATACGGAAATAACAATTTTGATTTTGCTTCCGACCATGAGTCAACTTATGTTCCAAAATTCTCTATGAGACCAGTATTGATTATTAAATCTTTTTAAACAATAAGATAGGTGATTTTGTTTAGGATACAAATATGTTTCAAGCTCTGCAAAAGTTATGGTCTTGATAGGCTGAAAAATATAATAAAAAAAGCATAGTATGTCGATTCGACAGGGACATGAAAACAGCAAATATTAATTAATTCCAAATTCTTCATTTACTTAACCATTACCTACCTGACTGACTGTTGCAAGCAGTTTCGTATCATCATTGGGAGAGAATGCAAATTCATGAAGCGTGCCGTTTCCAACGGCCCAGCGATAAACTGGATTCCTTGACGTTTTGGTTTTACATGTATAAATTGTATATCCGTCTCCCTAAAATTGGAAGTAGGCACTTATCGAAGTGCATGAATTCAATTTCTCTATCCCTTCATTCTATGATGACTAAGTGGGCATTTTTTGGAAGAGTTTGCAAAAATATTAAAAATTCACCTGCTTGAAAATTTGATAAACAGGAGGTGACTGATTGCAAGGTAAATTCTCGTTGTACAGGTATGCATTACCACTGGTATGAGATGCCAGAAAACACTGCTGCTGACCTGAAATTATTTTTGAGTACGAATGTAGAAATCTGCAGTCCTGGTTCCAACAAAAGGCGCTTCTTTTATAAATTTAAGTTCTTTTATCAATTTATAGCGATTAAACTGAGAAATACATATAAACCAAAAACTTTCAATTCGAACAAAAAACTTTTTTTCAGAAGTGGCCCACCTGGGATCCACTTTAAGCAAGTTACTGCAGTTTTGTCAATTAATCTATCTTCATTGTACAGTCGACTGATTTGCAAGTCGTTTCGAAGCGGATCAATAAGCTGAATTTGTCCAGCAGAGAAACCGATTATCAAGCTGTAAATTATCAGTTTATCACTTCTTTTGCAGCATTTTACTCTATTTAGTTAGCTTCCCAGTCATTCTGGATAGAAAGAAAATAAGTTACTTTAAAAAAGCGTAAAGACAGTTAATTTTGCTGGTATAGCAAAACAGTGCTGACAAATACAATAAAATCTGCATCTTAGGATTTCACTTTCCTAATTAACAACTTGACCGAACCTAATAACAAATAAATTAGGATGATCATCTTTATTCAACACTGATATCAAAAGCTGACACAGCTGTTCTTCGTGAAACGAAGTAATTCCGGTAGAAGTGAAAAAGATAGGAAATAAGAATTCTTAACCAACTTTTCACCAACGTAAAACTTATAAACTCCTACAACATACTCTACAATGCGGTGAAATTTGTAAACGAAAAGAGAAAAACGAAATAAAATATAGGATTACACGAAAACAAAAAGCACTGCATGTAAAACGTAGTTTTTTATCAACAATAAAACGTAGTTTTTTATCAACAATAATTTTCCAGAAACTGCAACACCAATACCTACTTTGAGAAGTGTTTATTAGATCAAAAGAGTATCTACATTTCACTGAGACTGCGTTACTAAAGTCATCCATCCAATTTAATATTTTATATTGAAATTAGTCAGACCAAATTTCAGGTATAAAATGCTTTCCACAGTAACTTTCATAATTTTTTTATAATGTTAACATAAAAAGGAATGTGACGCATAAACATCAGAAAGTAAATACTATATATTCGAGCTGTAATCGTCACGTATCGCAATCAATTTATGTCAGTGCTATTCTTATCCAGCTTCCAAATTAGATAGTAAGGTTTCGGATATATAGAAATGAAAATGTTACGTATACCGAGTATTGTTTGTTGCGCATAATGTATGATAATATATAACAGCGGTTGAATAGAAAATATGCCGATTATTAATTTGATAAAAACAACAAGAAATGCCAAAATAACCTGCATGAAGTTGTGGTGGCGGTTTCCTGATTGAAATCATGCGATGTAGGATAAGTACCTTTGTATACTCGCTTATCAATTGGTTTATTTAAATCAACGGCACTTTGAACACCTCTAAAATAATTAAAGATTACCCCACACTCAATAAAATTTTAAATATTTAATAAATGGAACAAATCAGTGAAAAGGCGACAGCAACACAACTTTCTTAACCAAGCCACCAAAATACTGTTGCATAAGATAAGGTATAAGAGA